GCAGCAGAGCAAAGAGCTGAGTGAGGCCGGAGTCGTGGAGCTCTATGTGGGAGAGCGTGGCGGCTCGATTGAGAATTGTGAGTGTCTAAACTCGGGGAGCGAGAGCGTGGCGGCTCGATGTGGTCGTAGTCTGCTGTCTGCTCTGTGTCGAAGCTGTAGCGTTTTGGGTTGATTAGGACTGTACACGCCGAGTACTACATTGTTGACTGGAAATTGTAGTCTGGTACCAAAAGATGTAGGCAGTGTGTGGACAAGCTCGGTGTAGCAGGAGAGAAGAATGTGCATAATTGTTGCGTCCTTGGGTCGCTGGTGGAGCATTTAGATCCGGGGCGGATGGGCTCGGGCACCAGGACATTAGGAGGTAATGTAGGCACGTAGTTAGGACAACGAGGTAATCACTGCTAGAGCTGAATTGTCCTGGAGGCGACGAAGAGTCGGAAACGCAAGCTGTAAGTCCTGTACTGCGCAAAGGGCTTGAGTCGGCAGAGTATCAAAATGCAGTGAACGTGTAGATGAATCTGACGAAAGAGCAGCTTTCGTGGGCGTCCCTGTAGAACAAGCAGTGCCCTGGCAGCGACGGAGAGTCGGCAGGGCAGGCTGTAGATCCCACATTATGTAGTTACTGATGAAGCTGCCAGATGAGTGAGTAGTGATCGTGGAGCAGCAAGCCGTAGTAGATGAAAATGCAGAGATGATCGCGATGAAAATCATAGCTGTGGCAAGGGTGTTGGCAACGTTTCACGACAGGTGGCTGCGGTCCACAGCAAGCAGCAGCAGTGGAGGTCCAGTGAGAGTCCATGTTGTAGTCCATCGTGGGTATCGTCGCTGGGCTGGGTATCGTCGAAACTCTCTGGGGTCACCAATGTAACGGTTCTATTGTTACGTAAAGTATGGTGACAAATAAACACAGACACTAAGATACTATACATATATTTGGTCGAATATACAGAAGTACACAGGTGATACGTTGGTGTGAGTTGAGCGCACTGAGCGTCGGTACAGTATCTCGCAAGTGTCTGCTCTAGACCACACTTGAAAGTAGACTCTGGTTAATGTTTGCTATTGCTGCTTATATGCCCGGGCATCTCACCGTGTTGCCCGGGCAACGCCTCACCTCATTCATCTCCAAAGGTTGACAGGAACATTAACACTATATTTGGAGCGAGTATATTATTGGGATAATCTACTCGCTACAGTAGGTTCGGTATTTAGGTTCTGTTGGCTATTATTTGCACTTTGAAGTATGTGGAGGGTGAAGCATTTATTTTTTTAAATGTTTTAAATTTTTTTTTTTTTTTTTTTTTTAGGCTGTCCTCAGGCCAGGCTCGCCAACGCGGCCGCCCAACCCAATGCCGCATTCGTCAATTTTATCATTTAGAATTATTCTCCCGTATAAGGTAATATTATTTCATTAAGTTAATAGTTTAAAAACTAAGTTTAGAGACAAGCGACAGTCCAGTGTACAAATACTGCCATATATGAACAACTTCCCAACAAAAAGAAGCGGGGACACCCCTCCAGGAACTGAATTTACCCGAGGGCCACTAACACTAGTAGCCTCGATGACGACAGTAAGCCGGCGGCTTGTCAAAGGTCCCGCCATTTGCCCTGATGATCTTTTCCAGCTGTATTTTAAAACCCAGCAGAGTTTTGGCGTTTACGGCTTCGGCGGGTAGGCGGTTCCACGGGTTTACAACCCTATGGGTGAAAAGCATCGTCTATTTCCTGTCCAACATTCTGGCTTGTTGAGTTTGAAGCCGCTATTCCTTGCTCGTGTAATATCTGACCTTTTGAAGACATTGTCCTGGTCGACGTCCTCAAACTTGTTTAATATTTTAAAGGTTTCTATGAAGTCCGGCCTGTCATGCCTGGTTTGTGGTGTTAGCCCTGTGGCCCTCAACCGTTCCTGATACGAGAGATGACTAAGCTCTGGTATGGTTTTTTGTCGTAAGACATAGTTCCATAGCTCTGGTAAGACATGACTCCAGAGCAGCTATGTCTTTCTGAAGATGGTCTCCATGCCTGGATGCAATAATTCATGTCGGGGCGCACCAGAAACTTATACAATTGACGGTCTACTTTCGTTAACTTTTTTTATTATTATTTTCTACCACAGACGTGGCCACAAATTTACAATGCTAATCAGCATATATACATTTTCTTCACTTGGGGGTGCCACTTGGGCTTTGGGTTGTGCATGGTCGGGCTCCGGTTCATGCATGGTTGTGCTCCAAGGGTTGTTTGTGTACTAGTGCTTCAGCTTTGTTTGCTAGGGCTCTATGGTTATATGTTTGCTAGAAATCCGTTTTTTTCGTACATAGATCAATTTTTGTTTCCTAGGGCTCCATAGTTGGTTTCTAGGGCAAGTTGAGGGGTTTTAGGTAGGGCTAAAGAGATTGTTGTTTGGTCGAGCTAGGAATGGAGTTTGGTTGGGTTCTGGGGCTTTTTAGCTTAGTGGGGGTTGGATGACATGTATACTTGCTAGGCTTGCGGTTACACAACTGATCTGGGTCCGGTTACACAACTGGTGGTTCAGTTACACAACTGGTCGGGCTCCGGTTAAATAACTGGCCGGGCTCCGGTTAAATAACTGGCCGGGCTCCGGTTAAATAACTGGTCGGGCAGGCGATGAGTCACAATAACGTGGCTGAAGTATGTTGACCAGACCACACACTAGAAATTGAAGGGACGACGACGTTTCGGTCCGTCCTGGACCATTCTCAAGTCAATTAACTGGTCGGGTTCCGGTTACATAACTGGTCGGGCTCCGGTTACTTAACTGGTCGGGCTCCGGGGGGTGTCACTAGGCCTTTGGGTTGTGCATGGTCGGGCTCCGGTTCATGCATGATTGTGCTCCAAGGGTTGTTTGTGTACTAGTGCTCCAGCTTTGTTTGCTAGGGTTCTATGGCTATATGTTTGCTAGAAATCCGTTTTTTTCGTACATAGATCAATTTTGTTTGCTATGGCTCCACAGTTGGTTTCTAGGGCAAGTGGAGGGTTTTAGGGTAGCGCTAAGGAGATTTTTGTTTGGTCGAGCTAGGAATAAAGTTTGGTTGGGTTCTGGGGCGTTTTAGCTTGGTGGGGGTTGGATGACATGTATACTTGCTAGGGTTGCGGTTACACAACTGATCTGGGTCCGGTTACACAACTGGTCGGGCTCCGGTTAAATAACTGGTCGGGCTCCGGTTAGTTAACTGGTCGGGCTCCGGGGGTGTCACTAGGCCTTTGGGTTGTGCATGGTCGGGCTCCGGTTCAGGCATGGTTGTGCTCCAAGGGTTGTTTGTGTACTAGTGCTCCAGCTTTGTTTGCTAGGGCTCTATGGTTATATGTTTGCTAGAAATCCGGGTTTCTTTTTTCGTACATAGCTCAATTGTTGTTTGCTATGGCTCCATAGTTGGTTTCTAGGGCAAGTTGAGGGTTTTACGTAGAGCTAAGGAGATTTTTGTTTGGTCGAGCTAGGAATGGAGTTTGGTTGGGTTCTGGGGCTTTTTAGCTTGGTGGGGGTTGGATGACATGTATACTTGCTAGGGTTGCGGTTACACAACTGATCTGGGTCCGGTTACACAACTGGTGGTTCAGTTACACAACTGGTCGGGCTCCGGTTAAATAACTGGTCGGGCTCTGGTTAAGTAACTGGTCGGGCTCCGGGGGTGTCACTATTTGGGCTTCGGGTTGTGCATGGTCGGGCTTCGATTCGTGCATGGTTGTGCTTCAGATGTTTTTGTCCGGTTCGTTCATGCTAGGCTTGCGGTTACACAACTGGTCGGGCTTTGGGGTGCACAATAAACTACCACTCGCTGGTTGAATAAGGGATGCTTAATGAACTATCCATCTCTGGCGGCAAAAAATCAATGAAGTGTGCCACTGTGGTCTAGTTGCAAACATTGCAAATAATCCAATGGATTATTGCAGTTGTCTTGTTTGCACCATCTTTAGTCTATTCGTTCTGTAATAAGAGACAAAGCCCTCGCTGATAAATAATAAGATATACAACATTATAAGCAGTGCGCTTAGCACGTCAGCCCACATTTAATATCTATATAATAATAATAATGTTTATTCAGGTAAACGTAAATACATTAAATAAGTTACAAGCAGAATGTTTAATCTTATTATTCACAATTTTAACTTGTTCTCAATTTCTATTGGGCATTTTATTATCTTTGCAGACGAAAACCGAAGCGAACACACGCCAGCGCATATATGTGTTTTATATATGTGATCGAAGATCTTGATAATCTCCAACTGTGAAGACGTGGAAGGACTCCACTCCCATTATGCTTCATTCAGTAAATATTGGTAACTTATCCTATTATTTTCTTTTAATATATATATATATATATATATATATATATATATATATATATATATATATATATATATATATATATATATATATATATATATATATATATATATATATATATATATATATATATATATATATATATATATATATATATATATATATATATATATATATATATATATATATATATATATATATATATATATATATATATATATATATATATATATATATATATATATATATATATATATATATATATATATATATATATATATATATATATATATATATATATGTGTGTGTGTGTGTGTGCAGAAATATTAATAAAACAATTAACATCGTTTAGTGTACTCTATATATCAAAATATATTACTTTCTAACCCGTATCAGTCACTAATTCAATTTCTTTCCTTATTATGCACCCCATACCCATCCCGTGGGTGGTGGTGTAAAGGATTACAGAGGCACATAATCGGTTCAGGAACTGAACCCTCTAGTTCGTTTAGCTAAGCAAATAACAATATTTGACGCTAGTTACAAAATTATTAATGGTGTATACACATGTACACACTCTCATACATACATGTAAATATATATATACGTATACAGTCACTAAACAAGAAATTGGGCTACTTTTATTACAAATTCGCTACTTTTGGAGCGTCAGCTCGCTACTTTGAGCAGTTTGGAGGAGGCAACCGTGGGCGTCAGTGGTGGGTGGCCGGCCGCTGGGGAGGGTTGTTGCTGCTGCTGTCATGGACGCCGGCCGCTCTAAATCACTTCTCTTGCCTCTAGGTGGAGCTCTCTTGCTCTCTGGTGTGGCTGGAGCCATCTATTACTACCTCACTAAGAAGGTATTTGGTGTGTGAAGGCGTGACACACTTGTTAAGTGGGGTTGTAGCTCCACGCTGCTGCTGCTGCTCGTGTGATTTCCTCGCACGTTGTAAACAATATTTTTTGTCATGACGTAATTTGTAAATAAGATTTTTTTGTCATGCGTAATTTTGTTAAGGTGTTGGGAGTACCGTTGGTAATGTTGGACTTGTGTGTGTAGTGGAGAATAACGGGTATATAAGTCCAGTCGGTTCACTCAGTAGTGGTTTCTGTACAGTAACTATATACAGTATTGTAGTTTAAGCCCTACACCAACCTCATGATGTATGTTAATATGTGAACTATTGTATAAAATGAATATGCAGTAAGATATGCTTACTATCTTAGGATAGTAAGATAGGCGCCTTCAATACTTTTTGCTAATGAAATGTCCAGCATGCATACAACTGTGTACAATATGACAATACCTTAAAGAAATACGGGTCAGTCGACCAGACCACACACTAGAAGGTGAAGGGACGACGACGTTTAACTATTAACTTGAGAATGGTCCAGGACGGACTGAAACTTTGTCGTCCCTTCACCTTCTAGTGTGTGGTTTGGTCAACTTTTTTTAGCCACGTTATTGCGACTCATCGCTTGCAAATACGGGTCAGTTCGTACACGGGCATTTCATATTAAAATTTTCAAGCACACTCTTACATTTACATTGTGAATATATATAATAGTGTGGAAGTATTAAATAGTGTCAAAATATTTACCCGAGTGGCCTCGACTTGCACAAGATTCTGGTGTCTTGTCAGACATCTCCCCCCTCCCCCCCACCTGTAGTCATGATTTTTATCCTGCAGGATTTTGAACTACAACATTGTCTTGGCATTTGCAGAATATGTAGGTAGCTGTTCCATAGTTGTATAATCCCACTGGTGAAAAAGCATCTTGTGTGTGTTGTCCTACATTGTGGCGTGTTGAGCTCGAAACTGTTGCTCCTTGTATGTGTTCCATCTCGGGGTGTCAGTAGTACGTACAGTTGGGTTTTTCGTGACCTGCAATAGGGAATCCTGGTTGGGATAGAAATGGTTGGGCATTTTCTTTCACCTAATGCCCGTGTTCAAATAGCAGTAAATTGGAACCCGGGAGTTAAGCAGCTGTTGTGGGTTTGAAAGGTCAGGACAGTGGTTTGACCTAGGAGTGGGGGGGAGGGGGGGGATCTTGATACAACCCTATGTACAAGCTTTCTATTCCAAACAACGGGAACTAGGGAAGTATAAAGTTTTTAAAATTAGATTTGATTAATGAAATGACCTTGCCTTTTTAGGCAAAATAACTTGACTGTACTAAATAGCTCCTGGAACTGAAAGACAGAGCTACAAGAAGAGGTTAGAGGCATTAAATATGTCAAAATTAGAAGATAGAAAAAGGCGATATGATCACTATGTACAAATTAGTAACAAGTATCTACAAAATTGATAGGGAAAAATTCCTGAGACCTGGAACTTCAAGAATAAGAGGTCATAGATTTAAGCTAACAAGGCTGAAGAAATTTAAGAAAATTCACTTTTGCGAACAGAGGGGTAAATGGTTAGAACCAGTTAAGTGAGAGGGTGGTGGAGGCCAAACATCAGTAGTTATATAACATATGACGGAGTGGTGGGAAGACAGGACACCACGATCATTATCTTATCCTGTGACTACTTAGATAATTACAATGAAATTTTAGGTACCATATTTATGATAACACTTATGGCTTCAATCACATTTACTGTATAATGATTTTGTAGATGACCACAACATTGCAAGAAATAGTAAGGAAAAGTCATTGAGTATATTTAAAACTAAATTCAATGATACATTTTAATTTTTAGATATCCCCCAGTTTTCATTCATGAATACAGGTTCTTTTTCCCTTTGAAAATGAGGTTTCAAGGCTAGGGTGTCAAAAATGTTAGATGTAGTAAATGTTTTCACAGACAGGTTCTCTTGGTATTTGTCCTTCATATGACAGGTTGAAGTTAAAATTTAACTCATTGAAATCAGCCCATAGAGCATGGGAAATATTAGGGTATGAATGGGGGCACACTGAATATACAGTACAGGGATCTCTAAATCACATTTATGACAGGACTGGATTTTTATAGATGGACTCAATATTACAAGAAATAGTTGGGGCCTTGGGAAGGTATTGAGAATATTTAAAATCAAATCTATTTTTGATTTTTAGTTAGCAAGGTTTTTGTTCACTCAGGTATGGCCTTGCTACCTTTTGAAAGTTTTTAGGCTGAGGACATGAGATATGTTGTTAATTTTGTTTGCAGACATATTCATTTGGCAGTTGTCTATTGTCACTCTATTTCATTCAATAAGTGACATGTCCTTGTCACAAAACAAGGAGCAACGGTTTCAAGCTTAACAAGTCACTATGTAGGACTGAGAACAGATGCTTTTTCATCCACAGGGTTATAAACCTACCTGCCAAAGCCATAAATGCCAAAATTCTGTTAAATTTTAAAGTCCAACTGGAAAAAATAAAGGCAAATGGGGGGGGGGCGTTCATCAACAAGCTGACAGCTTCCTGTCCTCATTGAGCCCGCTAGTGTTAGTGGTCCTCGGGTAAATCAGGCAGATATTACAGTATAGGTTGAAATTAAAATTTTGCTAAGTGAAATTAGCCTATAGGGCATAGTGAATATATATATATTGCACTGTTATTAAATATTTCAATTTTTGATCACACTATTGATTTCTCAATGTTGGAGACAGAAAACTTTAATGTCCAGTATTGTTTTTTCTTTCCATTCAATATCTTGAGTTGAATTTTTTACTTTATATAAAACACTAGGCATTTGTGTACTGAATCTCTTATCTTCATATACTGTGTAAATCATTTTCGGTGAGGATGATGCATATAGAGAAACACCAAATTGAGAGTAGACTTTAACTGGTCTGACAGATACATACACACAGCTAGTGCTTATTAATTGGCATTTAATGTTTTATTCTCATTTTGGTTCTTCTCTACAACAATCGGCACATTGTGCTCTTCACTACCAAATGATAAATCATGATAATGTCTTAATTTAGTTTTTACCTAATATTTCAATGTTACAGTAACAAATCTGAAACATTGAGATTCTATGATGATTTCAAACCAACTCCAGTTAGTTAATATCATATCTTTATTCCAGGATGAGGATGAAATTAAGCTGGTTAATACCATGGTCAACCAGTGGTCAATAACCAAAGTGCAAGTGCCACTTAATGTTGTTGGACTCGTCATTGGAAGACAAGGCTCAAACATCAAATTGATTCAAGAGCGTACAAATACTAAAATAAGTTTCAGTGATGAAGGTTGGTTGAGCATGTGTTGCTTTGTCAGTGTCATAGCATACTACTAGTTTGCTAATATGCCATAATACTATGCTTATAGCCATAAGTAAGAGTCCTAATTCATTTTTCTTTTACACTAACTGCCAGTCTTCTTATTCAATTGACGAATTTCAAGTAATATTTGTAGGCAGGTGCATGCACATATGCACCTGCTATGAGGAGAGGCTATAAGTGTTAAATACAGTATGCCAAAGCTAGAATAAAAAGATACGAGCAATACATACAAAATAGTAATGGGAATCAACAAAATTTACAAAGAATTCTTGAAACCTGCAACTTCAAGAATAAAGGTCATAGATTTAACTTGAGGAAACAAAGATATTAAAAAGTTAATATTAAAATATTAAAGTTTTCTTTTGCAAATAGTCTTAGATGGTTGGATCAAGTTAAGTGAGAAGGCCGTGAAAGTCAAAATCATCAGTAATTTCAAAGCGTCATGACAGTACTGGGAAGATAGGGCACCACGAGTGTAGTTGTAATCCTGTAATTACACTTACGTAATTACATATACTGTTCACACTCGATACAAAATAAATGTTGGCAGCTTGTAAATCAACTCTTGCATTGTTTGTTTGTAGGTTTGAAGGGAGTCTCAAATGTAATAACCTAATGGTACTGTATTGTTTGATTTATTTATAGAGAACATCAAAACCCAGTGAACTAGGAACTTGAATCATTTTATATATCAAATGTGGTAAATGCGAAACAATTTTGTGAACTGGCCATTTAAAATAAAATAATAATCAAAGGGCACATAAATGTAATTAGTACTGTAGTCCCTAAATACAGAAGTAACCCCCGAGACAAAATATCCACTAGGATGTTTAGTATGAATGAACTAAGAGATTGTATTAAGACAACTTATGGTAAGAGGTCAGAGTTAGAGGGAGGAATGCACGAGTTGAGCACAAATATGACCTATCGGAAGCAAACTTTGTAAAAACTGGTACAGTATGTCCAAATTGACTCTGGGGACAGTCCTAGCATCCTCACTCCTGCAACAACAAACTCGCTCACTCTCTCATGTTGACAGATGCAATAATGCTCATCCAAATTGCTTCTGCTGTGCACAAAACCAGAAAAAGACTGATTTTTTTTCCAATTTACATTTTGTATTCAAATGCATCATTCTAGAAAACAAATTCTTATAATTTTTATTTTTTATTTGGTGCACAAGCAAAGTGATAAACTTAACAAAAGCTGCAAATGAGAGGTATGAAGTAAGAGGAGCAGAAAGGACACAATAGCGGAATGACAAATAAAGTTCGAAGGAATGCTGTATGCCTTGGAAGACAGTTGCTAAAATTTGAGCTTACACTTCCCCCCACAGTTGCATGTCCTGGTAACAAGGGGGAAACACCAGGAAAGAGGACAGATGGGTACGTGAAACAAAATTAAAGCTGCAAACTCAATTTACACTTTTAAGGGTTATTCTTCTATGTTCACGTTAAAATCATGCTTTTTATTGAAAACATTTGAGGGACAATAAGTATTTAAAAAAGTGTGATTTGAGTCTTCTGATGTAATTATGTATATTACGTACTTAGTACTGTACATGTATTTTTTATTTTGTTAAAATTGCTGGTAGAAAAAAAGGTCTGTACATAAAATAGATAAGCCATGTTGTTAGATGGTGGTTTTACATTATCTAAATGGCAGTAATATACAACATCATACTTTGACTATTAATGTTCACACACATTACAAAAACATGAGGATGGGCCGAATATTAAGTTTAATATTCTGACCCCTCGATCATATTTTTAGCTAAAGAATATTGCCTTCATCCCAGTTATCAATGTTAATGCATAACTTGTATTGGCAGTTAGTGTGGATTACCAATAGAACTCGCATGAAAATACATGTTCACATGTTTTCTTTATTGGGAGGGGGGGGGAGGGTGGGCTGGAATTCAAAGGTCACAAATAAAGGGCAAAGGTGAAGCTGACTTAGGACTTTACTGTGCTTCGTACCGGTATTTTGTGTGCACTCTTAATTGACTACTTATCTCCATAAATAATACTCACTAAATAATGAACAGTAAAACAAGTGTGAAATACAATAAATAGGAAATAAAAATTGCACTTGGCTATGTGGTCTGCTGTATGTCAATTCACTACTCATACCTTAGAATCACAGTGCTGAGAATGAATAACAAACTTTCCATGTTATTTCCATGCTTGTAATAATTGTGAGGAACCTTTACCTAGCACCTAAATTGATTTACCTTTATTTGGCAGATGAATAAATATTTGCATATTTCATTTTCTTTGCAGAAGTTGATGGCCACCGAACATGCATCATCAAAGGTTCAGAAGAAAATATTGCTTTGGCACAAAAGTTAGTCATCAAAGCTGTAAATGATCAACCAGTGATTGAAGCTGTAGAAATGTTGGTACCCATTGTAAGTAGCATGTGTGTTTGTGTCATTCTTAATGAAGAAGTGAGAGAATGATGACTGCTTTGTTCTAAATGTAGGAAAAAATGCCAAAATACAAATACACAGATTATATTTACACAGTGTAGTCTCAATTCAATAAACTTCAATTTGGCAAATCTCCGATTAGAACACACACTTTCCATGCCGGATTTTCTCACCCGATTTGATGAACAAGCGTTCGTTGAAGAGAAGGATGTGTGGATTTGCTTAGGATGTTGGGACCGAGTTCACAGGTGGAGGCAACATTACAAGAAATAACTGAGGCCTTCTGTGGCTATTAAGAGACGCTGTTGAGCTATTGGAACTACATAGGCAATGTTGGTTTTCTAACACTGATCAAAGATGTACATCTGTACATGGTAACCATATTGCACTAGACATTTAACACATGATGATAACCACACTTTTAGGGCTAAATATATTTAGCCTTCTCATTTTTTCTCATAATATTCTCTGGACTGATACTTCGTGCATTATAAATCTCGGTGTTAAAATTATTTGCTCAATTCAAAAATATGGATCAAAGTGACTTTTAATTTCATCTTTCAGTGCATTCCCCTTGTTGAGCACCCACACAATATACGTGGACAGAGCAGTACTACTGTACTTACGTTTCTGACTTGTTTGCTTTTTTTTTAGCTTTCACTGTGGCTTGCTTGTCCTATTTTCTCCCAAATGAGTGTCCTTGTGCACCTTGTTTATTCTCTTCAGTATTGTAATGATCGTATCGGTTCTCTACCTTCTTTGCTCCCAAGTAGTTGAATTGAATAACCTCATCTTCTCCATGTAGCTTAGTCCCATTATTTTATGCTTGTGCACTCCTAACTTGGTGGCATATATCTTCAGATAAATGCACTCTTATCTTCTGCATATTCAAACTTTTGGTCTGATAATTGTTTCAAAGAAATGTCTTAGCATTTTTCTGTCTTATAATTGAATATTAACCTTAAATTGTTCAGCGTTAGTGTTTAGAAGATGGCTTGATATTTAATCACTCGGTCTATACTTCTCTGATGTCTATTATCATATGTATGTGCTTTTTTGTGTGCCTTTTATTGTTAAGGTGCTTGGATTTGTTAATGACATTTTTTCTTGTTAATGCTTATTTTTTAATGTAGAATTTGTTAAATTAGGTTATATTAGCACTCCTTGGATTTCAGGCAGCTGTTGGTCGAATAATTGGTAGGAATGGGGATGTGATTCGTAGCATATCGCGTGCAAGTGGGTCAAAGATTATTGTGGAGAGAGATGAAGACCGAATAGCTAGTCTATCATACCCAGGTAAGTGATTTACATCACCACACGTTACATGTAAGTTCAGGCTTTTTTTATTATTATTATTATTATTATTATTATTATTATTATTATTATTAATATAGTATAAACTTAAAAAAATTATATACAGTGCTGTACTGTGTAATATATACAGTATGTCCAATTCCACTACCTGCAACTTTGCTACTTATTTCAATTAAAAAGACAATTTAAATTAAAAAGAGGTAGGACAAGGGAACATTGATGGAAGCTGGATATACAATAGAGTTGGAGATGTATGGAAGCTCTCCTTCCTTGTATGAGTGGCAGGAAAGTGGAATGCATTGAAGGAAGAGGTTGTTGAGGCCAATTCCATCTACAACTTTAAAAAGAAATATGATGACATTAATATTGAGACGGGTAATTAGTGCACCACGTATGAACAGCTCGGAGACAAGATATAAAGAGGTAGGTCTCGCTCCCCCATTGTCACTGATAGGCAAGCAAAAATAGTTAAGTGCACCTATACCCTAGTGCTTCTTCCCAACCCTTACCCAACCACTATATGTATCCCAATTCTTGACCCTCGCCACATAACCATCCACTATCCCACCTACAGAAAAAGATGATGAGCAATTGTAGCCTAAATAATGTCTCGCATTATTCGTAACATATGGTAAGACTAAATTTATGAGTATCATAATATTATTTGTACAACATTGTGATATAAGGCAAGTAAAGGGGGCCAGGGATGGCTTCCTTAGTTGACTTGTAGGAATTATCTAATTTAATGTTGGAATTGAGAGTATAGTGTGTCCAGGCTAAAGAGAAGCTTGTAGTGTGAATCGGTAGTACTGTACCAACATCGAGGGAGCAGTCCCTCGTGTACAGTAATATAGTACAGTACTGTAATAGAGGTTGCAAGGCAATAATAGTGTCTCATAATGGAATACATTACACAGTATTACTCAAAATAATTAATGAATATTACAGTTTTCTATTTGGTGTACTGTATTTGTAATTGAATATGAATGCTAAAAGTAATACTTGTTTCATAGTCCTTTTAAGTAAGCATTACTTTTGTATGTCTTTGTATCTTGCTTGTAAGTGGCATCCTTATGTTTTATATTAGTGAATTCCTTATGTTTCTTGTTAAAACTGTGTTTTATTTATCATTTAATTACAATTGTTATTAATAAACATAAACTCAGTTTTATAGAAACATCTGAAGTTAGACAATTTGGTATATATACATAATTTCTGCATGGTTACACTGAACATTTGCATGACCATAGTTAAGCATTCAGTCAACTATATTGTATCCAAACTGTGTATCCAAGAGATAAGTCATGGCACACAAACGGTTGTTCATATAACTGGGTTATCTTGATAAATGAGAACCCAGTGTTGCCCAGAGTGGCCTCTAGGAGGCATGCATGTCACATGCGGAAGGGAGTAACGTAGTTGTTACGTTGTTCAGTTCAGGCATTTTCTCTTCACATCTCCAGCATTACATTACTTTTAACATTTTGAACCCCCCACACCTTCGATATTTTGCCTCAAATGACATTACTGTATTAATGAAGGCTATCTTCCATGGAGTTGGCATGTCTCCCTACACCTCCATTAGATACCTGTTCGGATAATGGTATATCCATTAGATACCTGTAGTCAGTTGGGTTTCATTATTTTGTGAGTAGTCAGCCAGATCACTATGGTATCCCATTTGATTTAAATCCTACCACTACAGTTTGCAGTTTCTTGTGGTGTAGTTGAGAGTTTTTAGACCTCAATGGTCTTTCCTGTTGCCTTCATCATGCTGCCTGTTGTGTCCAGGAGTCCTTTCAACTATGCTTCAAACTCCTTCGTTGGTTCGGTCCATTTAGTTGTTTCAAAATGCTGGCTTTTGCCAACCCATCTTCATCAATATTGGCCAAGTGCTCGTTCATCCATAAATTGCTCCTCTGTTTATGAATGGAAAATACTTTCTTGCACCTCGCAACTGTTCTTCATTTCGCCCATCTCTGCTTCACACATGTATTACAGTTGCCATTATTTACTGGCTGAATGTTAGTTATGTTTGGTGAATGTTTCTTTGGGATGGCCAATCTTGGCTTGAGGTTAGGCTGCTTGCTTCTATAAATGTGAGGTTAGTAGTAGAGGCCATATATAATCTGTATCTATTAAGCGTGTCATCAATATAGAAAAGGATCGAGGAAAACTTAATATTGTTACATTTCTTCCAAATTTTAAACAAAAATAGAAATTAGGATTTACATAATTGTAAATCCTCAGTGTGTTTTTGTTAATCACCTGTACTAAACTCTAATGTTTGTATTTCTCTACATTATCATCATCATCATCACTTTGTGTTCTGTTAAATTGGATACGATGTAGTTGACTGTGTAGGGATGCTGCACATACACGTAGCCTAAAATATATTTACTCAACAGTTCTTACATATTTATTCCAATAATTTTATATGGTAGTATAAACCTAGACAGGATTCGTTATAACAAGTATTTATGTGAAGAGCATGCTATTTATTTTGTTTTCAATGTTATCTAATGTGAATGTCACAGAGAATATGAGGAAGATTATTCTCAAGGGAGGCAAAGAGCAGATTGAGGCAGCCAGGTCTCTACTCTTGGAGAAGGTACAGTCTGAAATATCTGTTGGTTAATAGGTATTCGATTGGTGGCTGGATTCCACTCTTGTGGTTTGTGGCTATTCTCTTACTTCCCCTCACTCTCGGCTAAAGGTGTAATGGTTTTGCATGCTTTTTAACACTTTTCCAAGGCCAACTTTCTTGGTGTATTGAGTTTGTTTACTAGTATTGTATTTTCAATCATTAATTTATTTTGTGCCATCTTTCTGACAGTCCTATAAAACTAATTATTTGCCTAAGAGTTAAGAATGTTTAACCATTTTATAAGCCAGGTTCATCATATATTGTATGACATTGGATCATGTACACAGGGGCCTGACAGCTGAGTGGACAGTGTTCGGGATTCATAGTCCTAGAAACCGGGGATCAATCCCCAGCAATGGCAGAAACAAATGGGCAAAGTTTCTTTCACCCCGATGCACCTGTTCACCTAGCAGTAAATAGATACCTGGGAGTAACAGCTGCTACAGGCTGCTTCCTGGGGGTGTGTAACAAAAAGAAGACCTGGTCGAGGACTGGGCTGCGGGGACGCTAAGCTCTGAAATCATCTCAAGATATGATTTTTTTATTATGAACCTGCTCAGAAAGGAGTATTTGATCTAAACATGTTTTAATATTTCTCATTCTACTTGCAACTTTCCAATCAGTACCGTGTTTCAAGAATGCCGCATTATATTGATTGGTACAGTAACTTATAATAATTTAGTTTGAACAAAAAAAAAATTATTCTATCCTGTTATTTAAATGGAGCAATGCAGTAGACATTTCTTTTTCCATGTGATGTCTTGGAAAAGTCTTATTGTATTGATTTGAAACTTAAAGAACTTGTACAGTTCTTAAAGCTTAAGTTTCTTTGGTTACTAGACAGTGTAGCTCAGTATCTTCTAGAATGTAAAGTCACTTGATGTACAGTATGTATTGTTGTATATCACCTCATTTCTTTTTTCCCACGGCAAGGCAGCATGCACACTTACCATCAGTGTTCTGTACAGAAAACTTTTTATACATCATGAAAGTTGGTCGTCTGGAAGCTTGTTTTATTGGTGTTCTGTCACTTGATCTTGACTATACTGTATTGGCCTTTACTAGTGTTCTTGGCTGTTCTGTGACCTCTGTAACCTCTACTAATGACTCCCTGTACCAAACTATATAGTTTTAACATGGTATACTCTCTCTACTTGTTCAAGGTGTGTATGAATGCATCATTTGTATTATGGTTATTTCATGTGAAGAAATGTGTACAAAATATTCAACTGACCATCTGCATGCCACATATTTAATCATTATCTTGGTTGTACTTGCATGCGCGTATTTCAGAGTTTAAAATTAACAGTTTGAAGAGCAGATTTGTCTGAATATCTAATGTGATTAATACACAATCTATAGGTTTGTGATTTAAATGAGCAGCCACAGTCATACCTGTGTTGTTTGCAGTTTCATGAAGCATCCAGCCATGAATCGAACAGGATTGTTTAGCATTTTGTATGTATGTAGATAATGAAGGTGGTGGGGGATTGAGGCAAAACAGGTGATACTGTATACAGTAATTATATTTTGATTAAGGCCTAATCCTGACTTTTAATTATTTTATAATTAATTTTGGTACTGTTCTCTTTTAATTTTCTTGTTTATATAGAACATGCAGAAAATACAGTATTTTAATTTTAAAATTAGTAATTTCAGTACTACCTGTAATTTAGAGATTCAATTTAAATATTAGGATTTTTATCTTGAGCACCCACTTCTGAAAAGTTCACAATTTAAAAATCTTGCAGTAAATATGACGACCGGCACACACACACAGCTACACTTTATATTCCAGAGTGATGGTAGCATCATAAAGATCATATGCTCCAGAAAAAGAGAGAAGCATTCAACTGGAACTGAAAACAGACTTTTGACTATTAAGACATGGGCAACTGGTTAAACAATCTTGGAACTACAGTATACAAGTATTAGCTTGTTCAGCAAAACCCACTTCATTAACTTGTCCTATCACCTAATACGTGTACTTCACATTTTTTAACAGAATTGATATAATGGCACGTTTTTGAATCGTGTATGGACATGAGTATAAAAACCCGTCCTTACTATGTGTGAATGCATAATATGGAATGTTTATGAAAATGACGAGTCCTCCTTGGAGGTACTGTGAAACCCTACAATAACGTGTCTTTCTTACTGTTAAGGGTAATTTTGTAAAGTCGTACAGAACAAGGTTTTAAATAGTTTGTACATTACCAATTGGTTTAATTTTCATAACCTTAGGGGTTAAGCTTACAAAAATATAGCTTGAACGTGACTTTACTAATACCATTGACTAAGGTCTTTGAAACTTAATGTTGGTTCAACAAAACTAAGACTTGCTCAACAAGTAGGTGTACTAAATAATTCACAATCTCAATACTGGACTTTCATACATTTTAAGTGTGTTCTTGACTGGAGCAAATCAACTGTTATATCAACATAACAGTGAAAATGCCAGTGGTAGATAAGCAAATATTGACAAGTGATAGAGAATGATATTAGGCACAAACTTAGCATACACAAGGTGAAACTTGTATGCAATTGCCAGTTGCCACTGCGACATTTAACATAGAAATCCTACATTTATACTGTACTGTATATAATAGTGCTACAATACAACAACTAGTCACGGCACTTGGCTATATACAACTTCATTCTAACTTTATCTTTATAATAAGATGTACTCATGATGCACCATGAAGGTTGTGCATTACTTCACATTTGGTCAAGTTTTTCCATTTAAAAAACTTTTTTTTTGTGATATACCAAAAGGTTGAAATGTTGCTTAATATGTCTGCATTGTTTGTTCTTTTAGACTAAATGAGTTTGTGGTTTGCTTAATTAACTGGTGATAATTGTGTAAGCATAGAGTGGGTTTGTGGTGATGAGTGCATGACATTGTGTAGAGCATCCCCCTGGGTGGCCTCTCCCACAGGTGATTGAAGTGGAAGAGATGAGACAGCAGATTCATGCCTCAGCTACTAACATGTCTATGAGGGCCAGAAGTCGCCAGGCTGCACACGAGGATGACGATAGTCAGGTATGTGTTTCCAGCTCTGCATTATTTTAATTTTCTCATCTCTGGTAAGCTTTTAATACTGCAGTACTGTATTTAGAATGCATATAAGTCATTATAAATGTAAACTAAGCTTTTGCAAGAAATTTACCTGTAATATACAGTATATAAATTATCTGCACTAGGTTTGCAAAAAAGTCTACTTCTTGGGGAATTTTTAATAACTCATTTGAAGGTTGTTAATGTGTGTATATTTTGAATGAGGTCATGTGGGAAGGTAAAGTTAGTAGAATAGGGTGTGAAATTAGTGTATGGTTTAAAGTGAGAGAACTGTCAAATCTAATTTATGAAAAGGATGCAGTTCTTTTAACAGATAATTGGGACATGGGTAGATTTATGTTTTGTTGATGTGTGAAAGACGGCTGCTAAAATTGAATGCAGAGAAAAAATTAATTGTGGTGGATAGAAAAGGAAACTATTGAAAAGTTGAATGTTTAAGTCCTAGAAGTGGTGAATAGGTTTGTGCCTAGCCCTTTTATAGTTATTGATAAAATGCTTTTGTGTGGAAGACATTGCCAGTTAAGTTAAAGAAAAATGACTCGTGCAATGAAAGCTGTGGTTAGTAAGGATAAGACAGGAAGAGTGACGGCCAGAAGGCTGCGTGGCATGGTGGTGCCTACCCTCTGTACTGTACTAATATGAGCTGCTGCTGTGGCATGAACATGACAGCATCAAGAGTTGGAGCAGTAAACACTGAGATGCATCCTAAGGGTTATGAGGATAGAGTAAGGAATGAAAATGTCATGCAAAGATGTGGGGTACATTGCTTATTGCATATTCAACATACAATTGAAAATTTCCATTGAAAATCCTTCTCTGATTTTATTTGGTGACTTGGGTTTCCCTCATCGAGGACAGGCTTCCCTGTCCTCTTCCAGTCATTGCCTTGAAGAATCTATGAATTTTTGGCTGAATGATTTGCCTCCTATAAATATCCTGTAGTTCATCTAGGCAAGATTCCAATACTTTTTCCCACGTTTCTGTGTGGTTTTAGTGTTAATGTGTTAGTCAATTTATTGTTGCTTTTGTTATAACTATATCAAGCTAGTATAGGTATACTATAATTGCTTGCTTTCATCATCACCATCATATCGTTTCAGTCATCATCCATAAGCCTCGGCCCAAGTCAAGAAGCACTCACTTTGGCAAATAGTGACCGATTTATTGAGGCATATGTGTCTGCAGTTGACTCGGCTTCACACTTTTGGCTCCAAGTAAGAATTGTTGTAACTTTATTTCTTAAGTCACATTGTCAGTTGGATAAAAGATATAAAATATTAAAAGTTACATTTGACCTTTTGACTTGTGTAGCTGACTTACAAATAAGAACCGTGCCCATGGTTACAGAGCACCACTTGGTTTACGAACTTTAGTTATCCGAAACTTCCAGTTTCCCGATTGGGGTTGGGGAGTCATGTTACACGAACTAAGTTCGGGTAGGAAGTAGTCCGCCAAGCTTCACGCCGGCTGGGGTTGGGGTTATCCTACACGAACCAAGTTCGGGTAAGGAAGCGGTTAGACAAGCGTCGTGCCGGCCCGTGGTGGTGGGTGGGTGGGTGGGAGATGGTTCAGTTTGCTCACTGACCATGTCGGGCACCGCCTGCTACCCTGTGACGTCACAGACTCACGGTCTATTGTTCCCATTGTTTGAATTTGTCACGAGACTGGAGTGTTCATTCCGTGACTTTGTTTTACATATCAGCACAATCAAGGAACATCCGTGCACCATATCGACTCCAAATGCACGCATTGTGTCAGTGAAAGCATCTACAAGCGGGTTACGTAAAAGAAAGAGGTCAGTGATGACATTTGAGAAGAAAGTTGAAATAATTAAGAAGGTGGAGAGTGGTGTCCCGAGAAGTGTTGTGTGCGCTGAATATGGCATTAGTAAAAGTACTGTTTTTGATCTTCTTAAGGCTAAACCTATCATTTTTTACTATTTCTCTAGAAGTGAATGTGATAAAGCAATACGAAATAGGAAGGTAGTAAGTAAAGCAAAGGTGGAGAGTGTTGATAACGCAGTGTGGGAGTAGTACAAACAGAGACGTGAGGTTTGATGATGAAGAAGCCAGTGGCAGGCTGGCTGCTCATGGAAAAGGCGCGTGAATTTCACCAAGCAATGAAAATTACTCAAAAGTGTGTATACAGTGATGGATGGCTCAGAAGTTTTAAAACCCGTCATGGCATTAGGTTCATTAAAGTGCATGGTGAAAGACAATCTGCTGATATTGTTGGTGCTGATGAGTATGTAAGTAAATTTGTGGAGATGGTGCAGGAACAAAATTTATCTTCAGAGCAAATTTATAATGCTGATGAGACAGGTTTGTATTGGCGTATGCTTCCCACAGAAACGATGGCTCATAGTGGTGAGGACGATTAAGGTGGTTATAAACAGAACAAACAGATAATTTCTTTGTTGTGCTGTGCAAATGCAGCTGGCATGCATAAATTAAAATTACTTGTGATTGGAATTAGTAAAAACCCCAGGGCTTTAAAGTCAGCCAGGTACCTCCCTGTGATTTATAAGAACCAGCCAAGTGCGTGGATGTCTCGAGTAATATTTGTCGAGTGGTTTAATAAGAACTTTGTACCCGAGTTGAAGGAGCACCTGAAAAGTGTTGGTCTCCCGCAGAACAGCAAAGTTGTGCTGCTGTTAGATAACAGTTCAACGCATCCACGAGGTGATGAGCTAGTAAATGGCAATATTATTGGAACGTTCTTGCCACCCAATACAACTTAAGTGATCCAACCCATGGATCAAGGAATAATTAAGAACCTTAAACACCACTACAAGAGGATGTTTGCCAGACGTCTTAATAATCAGCTTGGAACACTTAAGGACTTTTACAAAGTCTTCACAATAAAGTCAGCTATCTGGACTATTGCTAGTGCGTGGGATGAGGTAAAGCAGACAACACTAAGAAATGGTTGGAAAAGCTTTGGCCCACGTCAAGTCTGTTTCCTGACGAAGATGACGAGGCAGATTTTGAAGGATTTGCGGTGAAGAAAGTTAGCGAGAAGAAAAAATTAAGAGAGGAACTCCTAGCCTATGTCAAGGGGATTTAGTCCCCTGAGCTGAGAGCAGAACTGGTAACTGAAACAATAGAAGATGACATCGATAGATGGATAGATTTTGATGAAGAAGCCCCAAACAATCGAAACATGACTAATGATGAAATTATAGAATTAGTATGTACAGCAAAAAAGCCAGAAGAGGGCAATGAAGAAGATGGAGAGGAAGAGGATGAAGAAACGTTAAAGGAAAATTGTAATGTGGAAAAAATTCAAATTTTTTTTTAAGAAATTCTGGCATTTATGTATACGAGTAACAGCGAGTTTGAAATTAAGGACATGATGACTCAGTACAATTTGTATATGAAGTTTTTAAAAACAAGAGCCAAGGGAATGAAACAAATGTCAATTACAGAGTCTTTTGCAATGGCTTCCAAGAAAGCTCGCATTGCATCACCTGCACCTGACTCATCGCATGTTGACCCAGTCAACCCAACAACTTCAGTCAACCCAAAAACTTCAGTCAACCCAACACCATCAACATCCACCACTACTTCTTCCATGTAAATAACTATGCTTCATCAACATCAGTCATCAACATAAGCAGATCAGGACTTCAATTATTGGTGAGTACAAACAAAATATGGTCGCATTTATGCTATGAACCTGTCGATTTTTCCCCTAGATTTTTTCACACTTTTTTTTTTATATTTTTCCTCCATTTCTCGTATACAAACTTACATGTTAACCGACGGGTCTCGTCCCCAAGTGGTTCGGAAACCAAGTGGTGCTCTGTATTAACACATCTGAAGGTACTGTACATGTTAGTGATTTTCTTCAACGTTATACATATTATTGTGTGATTAATGAACGTAAAAGCAGCAGCAGGTTCATTTGCCTATGTAAGGTAAACGATAATCATACACAATCATATATGCCTAATATATGCTTGAAACAATCCAGCAAATTTGCTTTTCACTAGCTCAAAGTATAATTATTATTCAGTTTGAAATTCATTAATTTAGCCAAGGTGCCACAAGAATGACAGCAAGAGCATCATATACTGTACTGTAATAACAAATCTCTTATTCTTGCACAGGTTGTGGGCCCTCGGTCAGTTCAACTGGATAAATTGGTGACAGAAATGACAGAATATTATGAGTGTGAGGAAAACCGAGAACTTCATAAACTAGACAAGGTAGGAACAATGTAAGCCAGGACAGTTGCCCTTTGGGTATTATTATTCACATCTACACCCAGGAATTTATTAAGATTATTCTGATGTTTGTCTTGTGAACAATTCCCAAGGAGCATTGAAACACCTAGTGTGTGTGCTTATCTAATTGTGCATGTGGGGGTTGAGCTCTTCTGGCTCTTTGGTCCCGCTTCTCAACTGTCAATCCACTAATGTACAGGTTCCTGAGCCTACTGGGCTCAATCATATCTACACTTGAAGCTCTGTATGGAGTCGGCCTCCACCACATCACTTCCTAATGCATTCCATTTGTCTACTACTGACACTGAAACAATTCTTTCTGACGTCTCTATGGCTCATTTGTGTGTGTGTGTGTGTGAAGAAAAAAAAATAGTAACAGTTGATTGACAGTTGAGAGGCAGACTGAAAGAGCAGAGCTCAACCCCCGCAAGCACAACTAGGTAAATACAGTTTTCTTGCAAAATTTGAGAAATCATCTTTGTCATATAGGTATGACTTTATGAAGCCAGGAGTGTGACTGATGCTGTCACTTAGTGTTGGTCAGGTAGTTCATCGAGCAGTGTGTGAGAGCCCTCATTTGGTTATCACCTACGATGTAAAGAGGACGAGAAATACTCTCAATCTCTCATTGGAAGAGAAATACAAAACTTGGAAGAACTTTGAACTTTCATAGATTAACCTGTTATTTTAAGATGAATTCAGGTTCTTTAGTGGCACTAGTATATGACACTGCATATTAACTCGGTCATATTTTTCTGTTACAGGTAAATATAGATAGCATAGTGGCAGCCAAATTTCCACATGACAACTCTTGGTACAGAGGAATGATTTGCAGTTATGAGCCAAATGAAACTGATCCCATCGAAAGTCTTGTTACGGTGTACTATTTGGACTTTGGAGACACAGAAACTGTCAAGATAGATACTGTTTATGAGTTAAGAACAGATTTCCTGAAGCTCAACTTTCAAGCCATTGAATGTTGTTTGGCAAATGTTAAACCTGAGTAAGTACTGTATCTTAAGAGCTTTCGTATGATGTGCTTTGATGTGATTGTGGTTAAAGTTGCTTATGTAATAAGACAAGTTCTATAACAGTCAAGTGATATTTCTGTATACTCTGTATATATTTATATATGTCATCTGTACAGATATTTTATGTATGTAATAGTTTTAACATTTATCAGCTTCCCCATTTATTTATTTTTCATTGCCACAATAATTATAAACAAAATATTTTCTTTATATTGTGTATCTACTGTGTTATCCCACTTGGTAACTAACTCCCCCCAAGGTTAGATTCCACTGTCCTATGGGGAAATGAACCATGCTCAACATCCTGATGACTGCAGTACGTCTCTGCCATTCATAAAGCTTCCACCAGTTCTGTGGTATCTGGCAAGATTTGTTGGTTATGCAATTCTTATCATTTTCCGTTGGCCAGTTCAACTTTGGGCCTTCTGTCTTTAGCCAGTTCCACTTGTGGCCTTCTGTCTTTAGCCAGTTCCACTTGTTGGGTGTTGGGTAGCAGAGCTAGTGATTTGAGATTGGTTTTTCAGAGTTTCGTCTTTGGTCAGGGTGATGCCCGTGCTTGCCTCTACCTCCAAATTTGATTCCTGGCCTAGGAGACTAGCTCATTCTGGAGATAGCCGATAGTTGTCAAGTTGCAGTTTGCACGTACAGCTGTTACACTGTATTCTATTACTGCCTTACGTCTAATGGCTTCTGCCCCATGTTCAATCTGTCCTTTGCCAGTCTTAAGACAAGGATTCTTTTAATGAAGCTGCTAAATTAAGTGTGTCAACGTGTACACAACCTTCAAACAAAGCAACATCACACAGACCATATATACTGACAGCTCTCTCAGTTCAGTTACTGGGAGAGTGGGAAGTGCTGTCATTGTTCACTAGTCCAGTGGTAATAATTGAGAGGAATGTCGGTCAATAATTGGGCATCCTCTTGACAAGTTAGACTGTTGGTTATTCTTGTAGCATTTAAAATTATTGAAAACACTGCAGTAGACAACTTAATTATCTTTGACTCTTTCCTCATTACAGTACAGGTACTAGTTTTAAATACTGTAGCTTATAATTATATTGTATAGTTATACAGTATAATTGTATAATTCCATGGGTTATAAACCCATTGAACCACCTACCCACCGAAGCTGTAAATGCCAAAACTCTGCTGAACTTTAAAATCCAACTTGAAAAAATCATCAGGACAAATGGCGAGCCCTTTAACAAGCTGCTGACTTGCCTCCAATGTCTGATAATATACAGTATTACACACAGAAATCACAATAGCGTGATACATCAAATGAATAAATCCTATACATCAATCGACTAAGGCATGTCTGGGATCATCCCGGACTAAGTTCGAACCCTCATCACGGCCCTTGTGGATTTGTTTTTATACAGTACTGTATTGTCATATAGTACAGTAGTAATGCAATAAATTTTTCTATTATAATTAAATATGAGCTGTGCAGATAAATTATAAAAGCTAATATTAAACACTCACTGAGGTTTGATTAAGTCTTGCTCTCTATAATTAGTGCCCTCTGTAATTCTTTTGCACTAATATACACTGGATGAGTATGGTGTACACAATAAACTAGCTGCCACTGATGGCAACAATTAATAACAAAGGCCCTCTTATCCCTACTCGTATTCATAACACTAGGGCCAGAAAACATTGACCTCTAAATGCTGCTAACATATGATGTTTATTTTCCAGAAGTGTAAAAGGGGATGAAGCAGCTGATGCTTTTGAAGAGTTGACGTATGCAGCACAGTGGAAGGTTGTGATGGTAAAAGTTGTGGGCTATCAACAGGAAGGAGATAAAACTATACCTTGTGTCCAGATTATTGACACAAATGGCCCTACAGTAAGTTCTGATTATGTTCAATCCAGCTGTTTTCTGAACCAGGACAGCCTTTTCAATAGTAGTTTGCTTCACACATTTTTCACATTTTAAACCATTGTTTTCTCACAATAATGTATGCAAATGGAATGTTATTTACCCTGTAATTTAAAACTTTCACTGCTGACAATATGAGCCAGTTGGAGCATATTTCATGCTGCTAGATCTGGTTCTGATGAAAATGTCCATATGATGCTTAGTGATCATGATGCTAGTGGAGAGGGTGTTCATGCCGATGTTTTATTATTATTGCCTAAGTGTACAAGTGTGTGTGTGCGTTCATGGTGCAACCACTGTGTCGGTGGCCATGGTGACAAGAACTGTCTTTCTGTTGTCAAGCTGAGAATTTTAGCTTCCACAAGTCACTGTCTGCTATGAACAGTGCAAGTGACATTTTTAATATTAGTAGTGTTAGTGATCATATGCTAGTGGTGGTGGTGATGGCAGGGGATCAGTGGTAATGGATTGTTCAGTGTAATGTCCCAGTGGTTGTTCAATGTGTATATAGATATGGCCTTGAGGGAAGTCAATGTATATATTAGAGAAGAGTCTGAACTTGGTACATGATTAGAATAAATGTAGTTCAGTATAAACTTTGTGTGCAGGTGAAGGAGTTCTAGTAGAGAATGAGAGATACTGTATATATTTTACAGTTGAACAAAAAATTGTTTGAGAAGTCTGTTATGTGATATGAAGTGTGTGTGTGGGGGGGGGGGGGGGGCACAGATTATGGTGAAATTAATTGTATAATTTGTATGAATTTTTACTTATTTGAGTAAACTGTAATGTGTGGGCACCTCATTTTTTCATCAAAAGAAGAAAATATTAATTTTACTTATTTCTCTCTTTCAGGACATAGATGTGGCAGAAGAATTAGCGAAAAGGGGTTTGGTTGAATTTAGTAATGGAGTAACAAGATTGTCCTCTTCACCATGAGTCATAAATGTGAGTGTTCTTGTAAATAGTTTGTATAATAATTTATTGATTATTTGTAGCAGATGATTTAAGCCTTGAAAAGCAGAGAGGAAGATAGGATGTATATTATTGAAAGTCAGCTGCCAAATCATTGCTGTTTGTGGGAAATACGAAAAATTTATCACTAGTTTAATTTGTAATTAGGCTTCTAATGTTGGCTCATATTTAGAGGCATCTTCACTATAAAACTATTTGTGATTCTTGTGAGAAGTTTCTTCGGGAGAGACCCAGCAATGCTTAGCAAGATATTGTAATTCATTCCTGTTATAGTGGCAAATCAAAATAACCTTTTAAGATAATTACTGTAATGATGCTAGGATTAAAAGCTATTCAAATACTCAAACATTTACCCCTATCTCAGAATTATTATGCAGGTGTTGTAATTGTTATAACTATTCTTTATTCTGTGCCGTCAAAATAGTTGTTTGAAGAGTGAAACATGAGGTTCATTTATATTGTTAATGTATTTGGAGTTCCAAGTACCCTGACTAATCCATTTTTCATATTGACACACCTGATGTGTGGGTCACATAAATTCAACTTGGCACAAATATTTGTTGACCTACAACTGGATAAATGAATTGGTTAGTTGACTAGTTGACTAGATTAGTTGACCAAGCCACACACTAGAAAGTGAAGGGATGACGACGTTTCAGTCCATCCTGGACCATTCTCAAGTCGCAATCGACTTGAGAATGGTCCAAGACGGACCGAAACGTCGACATCCCTTCACTTTCTAGTGTGTGGTTTGGTCAACATATTTTGGCAACGTTATTGTGACAACTCGTCTGCATACAGTAGATTAGCTGTAGATTATTATAGATTTTCTCCTATCATATCCTGACATGGGGCCAGCCTTACTTTACAATTTCCTGGTCTATGAAGCTGTTTGTATTTGTAGCCCACAGGGCCACACAATCATCATAGCTAGGCAGAACCAGTAATTCAAGTAGATACCTTGACAACTTCTCTCTCTCTCTCAAAAGCTTCTGCTATAATTCTATCAATATACCTTACATTTGTTGTCGAGAGATTGAAGAGTGAGGCAAAAAAGTGCTAATTGTTTTCCATTTTGTAGTATATACTACATGCCTCCTTTCATTTAAGGCTGCTGCCTAATGGCTCTGGAAACACATTAACGTCCAGTTTCACTGACGGCCACTTGGAGTGGCCGGTGGACCGTTCCAAGCCTATTTTTCCGAGTTTTTTCTCGGTTTTGGTTTGACGTCTGATCTCCAGACTCCCCTCACCATGCTGGGCACACCAGATTATGATCCTAGTCTGCACAAATCCCGAGACCTGGTAACATTTATACGTCTGTGGTACCATTGCCTTAAGCACTGGGAAGCTTGTTTATGTTTACCAATATTGGCTATAATTTTTAGTATCCATTTACTAATTTGGAACTAAAACTTGACATTCAATAAAATGTGTTTCCCTTATATGTAAGGTATCTAATCCTTTCAGTCAGGTCCTATAGTATGTAATTAACATTATGTACTTACATAGATCAACTGTCCAGCCATTGGAAATTAAAAAAAAAAAAAAAAAAAAAACTTTCAATGCTGTGACAGTACTGTATAATATACCTAACGTGTAAAACAAAAAAAAATCCTAGTGCAAATATATGTAGTTCAGATCCTAGAAAGCTACGACTGATCAAATTATGCTAGTCTTTTTCATTTGTATATACTGTAGCTATAAAAAAGAATATTGAATTTACAGGCAGTTCATTATATTAGGTATATACAAATCTTTGATGTTTTTATTTTATATATATATATATATATATATATATATATATATATATATATAATCTTGTAGAAGATATATATATAGGGAGTGCCACCTTTGGTTGTGTTTGTAGGGACCCTCGGTCTCAAAAAAGAGGATATGTAGCATCTGGAGGAGCCTTACGGGGCACCCACGTATGCTCACATATTGTCTTCTCCTACCACCTTTGTATATATGTTAGGCGTGTGTATGGTAGCCTAATAATTTTGTATAATTAGTGTGAATATTTATATAGTCTTCACCTGAAGAATACTTCATAGTTGTCAAAACATGTATGATACAAACATCATATGCAAGGTTATTATTGTTTGAATTATTTTACTCACTCAGAAAATAACTTACCAGAATGATGATTTGTACATTTATCATTAGTCTCTTAATGCAAGTATACTTCTGAATTAGTGTGTACTGTATTTACATCATAGAAAACTGATGCCAAAGTAGCTTGCTATATTATTTTGCCAAGATTTATTATAAAAATGTGATTATGGTCCAATTTGTACTCAAATATAAAGATGCACATATTTTTATTTACAAATATTAGTGATGCATAATTGGACTGCATTGCCATAAGTGTAATTATTTTACTGTTACTCATCAAACAGTAGATAGATACCTTTGCATTAACATTTTTATTCTGGCAGTGTTGCCAAATGTACCGATAATATTCTAGGATAAGAATAATACTGTAGTGCAAGAGTACATGTATGTAGTGATACTGTATACACTGACTCATATACAATGATACTGTATACACACACACTTGAATACTGTATACACATACACTTGGATCACTGACCAAAGTATATTAATTACCCTAATAATGTCTCAAGAATTGCAATTTGTAGGTTCAAATAAGTTTTCTTTATACATAGTAATTGTGTCTGCATTGTTTCCCGAAAAAAAAATATTTTTATTTAGCTGTTACTCATACAAATGTACAGTATACAAGATAGCAAATTCCTTTCTCACAAGACAATTTTCTAAGACTATTTTCATCTTACAGTATTCAAAATTAAAAAAAAAAAAATGATGAAAATGCACGAATGGCTTTTGGTTGTACTTTCACCTATAGTCATATATTTTGCACAATATATTGGCATCGTTGGAACACGGTGTTAATGCGAAATGTGTTTTAACAAAGGCCCTATCAGAAGCTCCTCTTAGCTTTTGCATTAGACCTAACCAACCAGGGTACCCCTACTTTTAAGTCACCCCTCAGCCACCTACCCCTGCCAGAAGTCACCCCTCATCTGGCCAGACCCCCCCTCAACATATTCTTCTACTAAGATAGTGCCTTGATTTTATGTACTTCATGTAGTACTGTGGGAAGGTGGCTTATAGGAGCTACCGAAGGCCCTTTGCTTTGACAGTAAAGATTTGTAACCTAAAGGAAAAATCAAATTCTAATTTATTAATATTTTATTACAGCTATTTATTACATTAAAATATAATTTGATATGCTCAAAAACTTAACTACATTCTAGTAATTTGTACAAACTAATATAAAAAAAATAAGCAGCTCAATCTACTAGTACTGTACTTTAAAACTTTATACAGTATAATAAACAATCTTATTTACTTCAAATATGGAAATTAGCCAACTGTAGCCACCATGCATACTCGGTATAAAATAAAAACAAAATGGTCAATACAGTACCTAAAACTAATACTAGTTTTGCATAAGAGTCTGAGCAAATATTAATCACTGAAGCACTCAAAATGAAATACAACATTCTGCTACTCCAGAAGCATGTTGAACTAGCACCAAATTTCACATTATGTACTGTGCTGATATTGAAGATTATACATTGATCATTAGGTCCTGCAGCACTCATCAATTCACCCCTTGTTGATTTCTGCCTTGGTTTATTGTATTGCTGCTTCAAACAACTGTAACTCACATTTACAAACTTTTTTTGGTCAGAATAACAGTTCAAAATTTATTTCAAGCATCATTTGACACTTTACACTACTTCCTCTTTATCTAACATGATTTCCATATTTCAAACATGAATGTGTGTATTTCCTACAAAACGTCTCAGTTCAGGTACTTCAAAGCATACATTATCTTCACCCATTAGCATGTCTTATTCTTAATCTTTCAAGATCAACCATTATCATAACTTGAATTTTGTGCACCAGTGTTTGAATGCTATTTTGAGCCATACAGGTATTGTTTCAGTTGGCCACCTGGCCTTGTACGCGTGTTCATTAAACATCGGGTAACATAAAAAGAGGTTGATTTTTTGACAATACTTAGCCCTTAAGAGCTAAAAAGTACTACTGTGAATTGTTAATTATCCACTCTACTTGTGTTAAGGTTTTTTTTTTTTTTTTAGTCCACCACACTTCTTAGTTTGCTTATTTTGTATAGTACAGTAAGTGTATTATGGTTTCTTTTGCAGTCATTTTTGTTTTTGATTCTCTTAAAAAGTTAATATATGTGAACAAGCTTGAATGGTCCCCAAGCATATATGCAACTGAAAACTCACACCCCAGAAGGGACTCGAACCCATACTGCCGAGCACTCTGCAACTGGTGTATATATAATGTGTGTGTATATATATGAAAATGTTTGGTCAGTCTAAGGTTGGAGGCCAAACATTTGGGGCTATCCTCGGCCAACTTTGCAGAGGAAATAGTCTGGGGTATAGGACGGACATAGGCTGGTCGGGGTTTACCCAAGTTAAATACTTTTAAGAAATATCAGCCTCTAACTCAACCCACACCTGTGCAATTTTCATGAAGTCAAATTAAATTGCAGGTGTTTTTGGTAGTGTGAAATTACTCCCACCGTTTATCGGAAGATTTTCATTTTATTATTGCAAAACATGCAACAATATTATGAACATTGTTGCATGTTCATAATATGCAACAATGAACTTAATTCAATCTGGTTACAGTGATGAAGACACAGTAGTGAAGATTTTATGGTGAAGATAGTATATACAGTACAGTGAAGATGTGAGAAAGGGGACAGGGGGATAACGAGGGAAGAACTAGAATAAAATGTTCGGGAGGGGGAAGAAAAGGAGTACAGGGCGAGGTGGGTGAAATGGAGTGGAGGGCGGGTGGGGGAAGAAATAGACATTGACCCAAGAACTTCTGGGTGCCCCTTTAGTATTAAAATATAATAGATTAATAAGTGATGACCAAACCACATGTTCAAAAATGAAGAAACGATGTTGTTTTGGTCCATCCTGGATCATCATCATGTGACAAAAAAGGAAGGGATGGGCAAATAAGGTAAGAGTGAGATAAGAGGTGATGAGAAAAGGCAAAATTAAGAATAGGATGAAAATAAGAATAAGAGGAAAGGTAAGAGTAAGAAATAGGGGGGGTATGAATAAAAGAATGGGTAAGAAAATCCGGAAAAAGAGAGAGGGCAAAGCTTAAGTCGGATCATGTTTCTTAAGAAAGAAAGCATTTATGTATGTACTGTGACAGGAAATATTTTAGAAGACCAATCAATGGGATTATTAGAGCCCTTGATATGACAATAGAGAGCATTGTTTGTGTCTGCAGACTTAGACGTAATAAATACAAAAGTGTTAAGTCTGCGTACAAACAATGCTCTTCAGTCATGTCAAGGACTAATAATCTGCTAGATTGGTATTCTTGTAAAATAATCTTTCCTGCCTCTACTCGTCACAGACGCCACCTTGTTGAACCGGCTCTGATACACAACATGCCCAACATGAACCTTAGTCCTGGCTTTGTTGCTGTTTATGCTTCCCTAGTACAAGACATACTTAATTGTTCTAACATTAACAAATGTGACATGACTTAATCTTTGCCCCCTTTCTCTTTTTCTTTCCCATTTTTCTAAACCTTCTCTTATTCATACCCCCCCCCCTTAATTCTTACCCCATTTCTTACTCTTACTTTCCTTTTCTTATTTTTCCTGTTTCTCCTCGCCTCTCATCTCTCTCTTACCTTATTTATTTCCCTGTTCCTTCTCCTCTCACACAACTTGATAATAGTCCAGGACGGACCAAAACGTCGCCGTTTCTTAATTTTAATATGTTGTGAGTGTAATTCATTGCTTGTAATGGTTAATAAGTTTTTTATTCAAGACATTGTACTTCCCGCTGCTCCAAAATTTATTTTATTAATAGTAGGAAGGTAATATCCTTTGCCTTTCAATTACTTGTTCGGTGTTGTGAATATAATGCAGTATTTGCAGTTTTACTCTTGATATTTGTTATTGCACATTAACATGCAAGAATAAATTGTCTTTGGCTCATCAAGCTACATAAGTCTCCCTGGCTTAGTGCCTCCTTTTGATAAATACTTTGATTTATCAAAATATCACCTTATCCATGTTATACAGTATATATATACCCTGTACCTGTACTGTAGTTTCTTCACTGGGGTTCTATGGAAACCCAAGGTAACTAGAGGTTCTGCAAGAGATACAATGTTACAAAAGTTGAGAAATGCAGCTATACTGTGCTCTTATGTAAGAAAATAAATTACCCCATATAATATCCATTTATATTTTTCTCAAAATAATACTTTAATGTTATAAAATATAATTTAGAAAGTCAAATATGAAAATAAAGTTTTGGATTATATATTTTTGTGACTATTGCATTGCAGTGATATAATCTTGTTCAGAATGGATAATAGAGACAGGGATTTGTCTGATAAGGTATTTACTCTTGCTCAACACTGATCCCCCCCACATAAAACATAACACAAAGCCGATTAATGAAGTACTTACACACGATGATATTTAGGTCCAAATCCTAAAGTAAACCCACAAATATGACACAGGTTCACAAGCTGGTTTTTTACAACACGAAGGAGAAATGGTAAAAAAATTAGGAAGACAATACCAAGGGAAATCAAATACAGCCACAATTGTGTGAAGCGAGACGGTAGCCACAGGACGGTGTAGTGAACAAGGCCAGACTTTTCTGCAAATATTAAACAAATGCACCTTTACAAAATTGATGATCAAAACAATTTTGACGAACAGTTACAAACAATTTAAGTCCACAAATTTAAAGTTATTGCAAAATATTTCTTGCACAATTTTGAAAGAGCATTGTCACAATTTAAATACACAAATTTGTAATCAATTTGACAATATATTTCTTGCAATACTGAACAAAATTACCACAACTTTACTAGTATCTTTTGTTCATTCTTTAATGATATAGAAATAATGTGAGGCACAATTAATATTATGGAATATTTATGAATTTAGAAGATACTTTTGTATGATTAGCAACAGCCACTCTAGTGATATATTGCCTCAAAAGTAACTGCATATGACCATGTCAACTACAGAATTCTCTTGTTCACTGCCTTAACCACCAACTAATTTATCAATATATTTGCTTTCTCGGCGGATTACCAATGTTCTCTGGGAGGTGGGCCATATTTGTCAAAGAAACAAATATGTATACAAGGCTGAAGGTATATACAATTTTCTGTCACTCCTCTAGAACACACTGGAGGAGTGACAGGGAGGCTTCTAATAAGGACAAACAATTTTCTGACAAAAATGTAAGCAGTAATCAAAAGCAATGTATCTAGCTGGAGAAATGTCACTAATGGAGTACTACAGGGTTCCATTCTTGCACCAATAATGTCCATTGTCTCCATAAACGATATACCAGAAGGAATACATAATTGTGAACATGTTTGTTAATGATGCTAAGATTCTAGGGAAGATAAGAAACTGACAATTGTCATGCCCTTCAAGACAACTTGGACAAAAGAAATGCGAGGAGGAACACTTGGCATATGGAATCTAATGTGAATAGATGCTACATTATGGAATATGGGATAGGAAAAAATAGACCATGCATGACTTACAAATGATGTGAAAACGCTTTAAAAAGATTCTGATAATGAAAAAATCGGTTACATGTAGACAATCTTAACATTTTCGTTGCCTGATGTCGCTGCCTGATATTGTCACGGAACCAAAATTTGGAGCGTGTGTGATAACACAAACGGCGGCATTAATTATAAAATTTGTAAAAATTCCATTTATTGTTCGAATACATTGGGACTTGTTTTAAAATGCTCACCCACTTCTGCCCGTTCTCTGTTTACCCCATGTGGCATCATGACCCCGCCGTGTGGGTGCCCGTCCATGCTGGAGGCTCACTGTTCTCGTGACTTTGCTCATGACAGCTGCATCCTCCCCTCAAGTTAAAAAGTTACCCTATCACGGGTATTTGTTGTTACCAACTTTATAAACACTGCAAATTGACTTCCAGATGGTTCCGTTCTTGATTAGTATCCAAGCAGTGAAAGAAACATGTTTGACGGAAAAGCTAGTGTGTGTTCACCAGAAGTACAGAAAAGTGAGACTTGTATGTTTTTATATGCAAATATTCCTTTACAGCATTATATTGCAAACAATTTGATACCAAATTAAACAACACAGCAGGAAAATTGTGGTGAGAAAACTGAAAAAAAAAAAAAAAGTACAAACATTTGAAAGACAGTGTAGTGCGTGTGCAGATGGGTGCCTGCTCACAGGTAATGGTCGGCCAGTTTTCAGGTTTGCTGCGAGTGGCTCGCCTGGCCTTTTGACCATGTATGCATATATTTTTTTAGAGCATTCTATTGCGAACAATTTGATACCAAAATGAACACTATAACACGAAAATTGAGGTGGGAAAAGTGAAAACAGTACAGACATATTATTGCGCTCGTGGATAATGCTCGGCCAATTTTACAGTGCGCGCTCACCGGAAATGCTTAGCTGACTTTGGGGTATGCAGCAGTAACCCGCCAGCCCAGTGAAAGTGTGTGTATATGTCGTGCCTATAATATATTACTGTTGTGTAGTTGAATTAGGGTCTCATTCCCCTACAGTCATTATTCTTGTGCACGGGCAATTTTTGGGACATTTTAGGAGATAGTTCTAAGCTATCCACGAGCCAATATAAGTGCAGCACGTAACAACAGTTGGAACAAGTTAAGAAAGAAGATGGTGGAGGCCAAAACCATCAGTAGTTTGAAAGTGTTATATGACAGTGCTAGGAAGACGGGACACCACAAGAACGGCTTTCATCCTGTACCTATACTCGGGCAATTACGATACTGCGATATTAAATGTTTACAAATTTTCATAGCTCTTAAGAGTTTCCCAGCACATGTAAAAATTTAAACAAAATTAGGTTGAAAGGCTGTAATCACTTCGAGAATAAATAATATACTTAATATAAATTAAACATACAATAAATATAAAACTTAGTTCCTTACCAATAACAGCTGTTCCATACCCATACTGCTGTTTGCCCATCCGGTAGGAGCAGGTGGGAACTGTCACTTCATGTAACCTATCCTTCGAGGCATCAAAATCCCAAATTTTTCTTTCTTCTTTAAGAACACGAAATTCTTGTGCTTGTGCTTTGTCCTTGGTGCCAGCAAAATGGAAAGATTCATGCTCGTGTCCAGAGAATATAAAGGATGGATGTTGTTGTAATACTTTCTGTAAGAGATAAGTTTAAGCACATTTTATTTATACTATGGAAAATGTTATACATCATTATGAACTTGTTTTAAAAGTTCATACATCTCAAGTAGAGTACTGTACTATAATTATTTTCTCCGCAAAAGAATTTAATGATGACAGAAAATCAAAGATGCCCATTAAGTTATATCAATATAAAATGCCTTGTCTTGCCCTGATAGACCTACCTAATAGCAATTTGCATAATTTCCTAGGCAAAGTACAGTATATCAAATACAACACTTCAATATTAAATTTTGCAATACTGCACAGGCTCATTTAATACATTGAAAAATAGTCTTCACATTAATTGCCTTATTCTGACTATCAACCATTTGAAATTTGTTTAATGCCTCAGAATCCTGTATCAAACTGTAAATCTAGCTCTATTTATGCATTACTGTATTATTCCTGTGTTATTTCTCTTCCTTCACCCTTTGTACTATTTAAATCTTAATATGACAAAGATTCTGCTCCTCTCCTCTCCTTGTATAACACTGTACTTAAAAGCGTGATAAATATAAAACGGAATTGAATGTAATAAAATGCCTCTTTCTGGTAGAACCTTGGTGGTTCCCTAAAGCTGTCTCACTGAGGCAGGTTCCTCACTATTGAGTTGCGTCAGCCATATATGACTGACCGACCAGAGCCAGAACCTGGCTCCCTTCCACCATCACAGAAGTGCAGGGAGTAGAGGATTGTTACAGAGAAAATATCCAAAGTGTGAGCGAAGCAATACAAAACTGCAATGATCACAGAAAACCACCACTAAAATAGCCAAACGACTCTGTGAATGAGTATTCAAACCCAAATGAATTGCTCGAAACTAGCTTTCATCCCAGCAATAAGCCAGTTTGGAGCTGAAAAAGCCCTAAACCAATACACCAGGTAAGGTGAGGGAGGGGGAGGAGGGGACTGAATCTGGAAGCCCACTGAGACTACCAGAAAAAAGTGTCATTACACCAGCATTGAATGTTGCTCCCTGAAGCTATCTAATATAGAAGTAAAATATGGGACTTGCCAGGGAGGAGGAGAGCAGCAACTATAGTCATGAAGACGAGAATGTTGAGCCAGCAGACTCAATCCAGAGCAACACAAGCCCAGCTAGGATCGGGAATATTTACCAGATAATGAGCAGGCAGAACCCTGTTAGACCTGCAAACCCCCAAGTTCAAATATCAGCCCATGACATATTAGCAAACACCAGTCGAAGCTGTGAACTTGTAAACATCATGAGCACAAGAATAGACTGCAGGCTGCCTAGAGTTGATAACATTGCAGACAACCTGGGACAGGAAACTAAGGACACTGGGTCAACAAACAGGTTGCCAATCAAAGCTGAGCAGGTGATGCACAAGTAGAGACAGTGGCGACAGGACACAACAAATTATGCACCCCACCCAGACAAACTAATCATCAATTGACCCCTAAAGGGCATGACCCCTTTAGAAGCCAACTATTTCAGTCTTTGCCAGAAAAAGGAGAAAACTGCAAACAAAAAAACTGCTCCTCAGAGCCAAAGGATCAGATCACTATCACCACACCTCCAGAGGAAAGATTTAAGCTCCCCCAACACCACAACCAGAAGCAAGGGCCAACAAAATCAGTGGCTGAAGACAGATGTCCCAGACCTGACACACAAAGAGCTTATTGAGAGACCAAGATGGCTAAGGAGATGCACGAGTTGGCCAGAGGTGGAAGAAAGCACAAGATAAATTGTGAAATGGTGCTGAAGATGTGTCGATGCTAATCTGCTGAAAGAGTCAAAGTCTCAGAAAAAGGCCTATGATTAGACATGGAGCCAGAAGAGCTGGAAACCAAGGCCGAGCCAGCCACCAAGAAGACAGAAGTACAGACAGAAGAACCTTGCCTGAGTACATCTCCAACCTGTACAACAAATGAACTGGAAAGAAGAGACAGAGAAACCCCCACCTCAATTAGTTCAACAGAAAGGTATCCACTGTTGAGTCTCAGATTGAGACTCAAGACTTGAGACTTGAGACTGTTGAGTTTCAGATTGAAGCCACATAGGAAGGGAAGCTGCTGCTTCCATTCCGACACAACGAGGTCCACCTCGGGGCTACTAAATGTCCCACGTGAATTGTTTGCAGAGTAGTTTGGCTGTTTTGGTGCTTCATTGTCTATGATCTTTATAGTTGGTCTGTACGATATTGCTACACAGTTTCTGGATGCTTTCTCAGTGATAATAATAATAATAATCCACTGCTCCCTGTGTCTGTACGAGGGAGCCAGGTTCTGGTTCTGGTCTAGGCCATAGAGGACTCCAGTGGCTGATGTAACTCGGTAGTGGGAAGCCATCTCAGTGTGATAGCTTCCAACAGCCACCAAGGGCTTCTCCAGAAGATATGTGCAAACTCCCAGATGGCTTGGTTGGCATCATCATTCATTTATCTATGGTTATATACTTTATATCGTAACCCCCTGTGGAAGGCAAGCATGTCATTAAATCCAAACTCTTGGCCTTTAGGTTAAATTTCATCATTTATTTCTTAATCTCATTTTACCTTATTTGTGGTCTTTATTTTTTTTATCCCTGAACTACTATCAATTCCTTTTATTTTTATATGGTGAAGAAACCCTCTTTTTTTATTAATTTCATCCTTGCATTCACTTTAGACTGCAACAGATGCTCTATAAATGTTACATTATCATTTGTCTTGAAACTAAAGGTAACTATTTAACTGCTGAATCAACATGCATAATTCTTCATCAATGTTCTAAACTCTAATGTTGCATCTTAAAATACTCAAGGATACGGAAAAGAACTTGGTCATTGTCAAAATATATCTAGAGGATTCTACATGCTTCACCTTGCTTTAAAGGCAGGCAAAGGATATACTATTACAAAGGTAAAGAAAGTGATGTACTTTGTTTGGATTTTAAAGTAAAATTATCATAGAGAAACAAGCATAGTAAAAAATCTAACTTTAAATAAATATCAGATATTAATGTTGACCAGACCACACACTAGAAAGTGAAGGCACGGCGACATTTCGGTCCGTCCTGGACCATTCTCAAGTCGATTGTGATATCATTTTCAAACTGACACAATCGACTTGAGAATGGTCCAGGAATGGTGTGGTTTGGTCGACATATTTCAGCCACATTATTGTGACTCCTCGTCTGCATCAGATATTAATATTAATTCTCAATGCAATAATTTATGAACTATGAAGGGAAAGTGTAGAGAGAGATCGGGAAGTGAAGGTATGGTGAGATCAGAGATGAAGGGTTATGTAAGTCACGGCTTATATTTCTGAAGTACAGTACCTGTATAAATTTATCAAGTGGGGTTGTAATAAAGAATTTTCCTGGATTTTGTTCAGTGGTGTTATACTATGTGATAGCTACCAATTCCATAAACTGTTTTAGCCTTTTTTTTTTTTTTTTATAAGTTTAGAATTTTTAAAGTTTGTGAATTATTACTCAATGTATATGCCACAAGCTTTTTTGATGTTATCAACATGTCAGACATACAATCTGTCTATATATATCAATGACATTTTACTCTCTCTTGGGCTGGATGGTGAGCAATGGTTTTGCTTCAGGCAGGTCGGTGTTCAATCCCCGACCGTCCAAGTGGTTGGGCACCATAATCCTCCCCACATGGATTGACACTTTCCCCTGATAATTCTCTCCCAAGAGCTCCTATCAGGGGGGGTGGGGGGTGGACACTGCAGAAGTTTCTCCTGGAGGCTCTTATCACCACACAAACTTTAACTCTTTCAAGCTCTTATACCCCCTTCCTCTACCCTAACCGAAACAGAATGACAGTTTATTCTCTTCACTGGAAAGACGGCAAACATTATTAGCATCTATAATACAGTCAAGATACTGCACCAAAACTCCATGCAATCAACAACCTCATCAGAAACAGCACACGACACTAGATCAATAAGACAGTTGTTTATATTATAGTATATATTGTGTTAACTGTGACACAAAATACGTACCGTAGGTGAAACATCCAGCAACATAGATGTGAGGATTTAGAAATACAAGTGTATGTGTGCCAAGTTGATAACACCAATAAATATTTGTGTTGCACACAAAACTGGAATACCTCGTGACTTTTAAGGATATTAAATAAATATATCAAAGAAAACATGAGAAGAGTCAGTTGTATATACAGTACAGTACTGTAAAATCTGCAGCCATCACAAAGTTTAACACCATCAAACATTATGTAGGGAAAATTCAGCATTGCAACTCCATGAACTAAACTAATGCTTTTGAGATATTGTGACTTGCGTCATATATAATCCCTCATCTAACCTCATCACACTTTCAACGCTGAGATCTCACCCAGCCTTGACTCCCCTTATACCTTTATAGTAGGGTATATCCCTGTGAAATTTGATAAAGCCCTTACAAGCAAAATGTTATCTCCAATAAAGTCTGTGGTGTTTCTCTGCATTGCTGTCTAGTTTATGCCATGTTTGCCATTGCAATGTTTCTGCTCTTAGCAAGTACAGTCACTAAAGCAGGCTTTGGTAATAAGTCTATTCAAAATATTAATTAGAACATTGAGAAATAATGTATTCTATTTTTGGAAAGGAGGGGGAGAAGGGGAGGTAACAACTTTACAGTAAACTATAAACGAAGGATGAAATCCATTACCGACAGGTCATAATATACAGTACAGTATATACTATTCATGTACTATAAGGGGCTCGCATGATTGTTTCACTACAAAAAGGTTTGTCATTCTTTCCTAATAAAAAGGACAAAAGTATACACCACAAATGCAATGGGTCCCTTAAAAAAATATCAAATCAGGATGTGCTTCTGCTCCATTAAAAATAATGGTCATGCAAATACTGTATTATCATGGTAGAAGAATACCAAATCCTGTGGAGCATATCCCAACTGGTCGACACGGTTGTGGCTCACACACACAATCCAGCACGGAGCATAACTGCATATGTGACAGTCCTGTAAGATTGTTCTTCTCTAATTTAAACACTTATTTCCCTAAACAGCTCATCCCAAAACCTTATCCTGACCCCTTCTAAGTGTTATAATGTTGTAATGGGTTGGCACTTTTCCCTGATCATTCCCTCCCAGATCAGTTCTAGGATTTATAGTTTTTCTGCATTTCTGTATTATAAGATTTTTGTATAAATATAACCATGTTTTGGTCAAGAAGAAAATTAAAAGAAATGCAGTAAATTTTACTGAAAATTCTAGAGGGCGTATATAAAATTATGAATACTGTACTTGTTGACATGCTTTTCTCATTTACAGCAATGCTGATATTTGTATTGATTTATTGAGTTGAGTTGTCTGACTGACAGCAGTCAAGCAGGGTGACATTCTAGCAATTGTACTGCAGGCATCTTTATTCCCAGATCCTTTACATGTTGCTTTCCTACTACGGGGAGATTTGATTGTGTTTTGTACCCTGTATTTTGCTTTGTTTTTAGTTTTGCCATACCTAAGTACCTGGAATTTACCACTGTTAAACATCATGTTATTTTCTGCTGCCAAAGCAAAATCTTTATTAATAGCAGCTTATAGTGTTAAAATGTCTTCTACGGAAGCATTTTTCATGCTGATTTTTGTGTCTGCTGTAAAGACGATATGAAGCTGTAACTTGTATTTTTGTCTATATCTGATATCAAAATAAGGAAAAGCAATAGTGCAAGGACTGTACCCTGAGGTACAGGGCTTTTAACCATGCTTAAACTCGATTTTATTTGGTTGAGTGTTACTCTTTGCATTCGCTTTAACAAAAAATTTAATATCCATAGCCCTACTTTAGCTGTTATTTCTACTGACCTCATTTTGTAGGCTTCATGGTCACATTTATCAAATGCCTTTGAAAAGTTCATGTATATCACATCTGCTTTCTGTTTATCTTCTAATGCATCAGTGGTTTTGTCATTGTGGTAGAGTAGCTGCAAAAGGCATGATCTCCTTACGTTGACCTGGGTTATGAAGGTCACTGATCTCCATAAAACTGGAGATCTGCCTCCTGATCACTTTCTCAAAAACTTTTATTATGCGGGAATGTGCGACTGGTCTATAATTCTTAGCTAATACTTTGCTCCCTCCCTTGTGTAGAGGAAGCTATATCTGATGATTTAAGCACTCTTAATAGCTCCCTCGTGTCCAAGCTTTTCCTTCACACTATGCTGAGTGCCTTTGCTAGTGACACTGCATTTCTTTATAACTTGAATCCTATGTGTGTGGACCCGGGGCTAAGTGAATACTGTACAATACATGTGGAAAAGCCCCGACAGATTTAATATATTAATTTGCATAATTATGTGCTCTACATATACTGTGCAGATAAATGTCTGACTAAAATTTATTTTGCCAAGATATCTGCAAAATAAGGACATCGTGGAAAACTGTAGAATTAACAAGTTAAGGTAAGGAGTAGTAGTAGTAATTCAGGATTTACCCAGTCATGATTGTTCTTGCTACACATGAAGCCACCTCCATCCACAACTTTAAGGCCAGATTCGACAAAGAATCTGAACAGAATGGATAAATTATAATGCAACAGATACAACAAGGCTGTTAGGTGAAGTATTAAGAACTAGGCCACATTCTCCCCACAGATGCTGATACATAAGTACTTTAATACTTAGTCACTTTCTAAATATGCATAATTAAATGACTTGAAAAAGCTGGAAATTTCATAGGCACACAGAAATGCAATACAAATTATTATTCAGGAATGTTCGAGTCACACCAAACAATTCATAGATAATGATGAAAAATGATTGCAGTTAGAGTATAAAAGAAATAATACTATAGTACAAATCATTCTTAAATAAGAATAAAGATACACCAGTACAGTATTGTATAATAAAAATATTTGATATGTTCATGGGTCACATTAGATAATCTTAAAGATAACAGCTAAAGAAGAATTAATAATAGCATTAAAAACTAAGGAACGTAAAATTCAAACAGTTTCATCTTGATTTATAAACAGCACCCAGTCTATAAGGGAATAAAAAAAAAAACATCAACAGATAGAGACTTTGCGACCAAGGATATCAGTCTTCAAGGTTCAATATCATGAGTACTGGAGTTAAATACCAGAAACTATAAAAAAAGAACAATACTTCACAATAGTTCACCATAGATTATCAGGGCTGAAAAAGATAATAATATTAATTATCTTCCTGTACCTGGAAACAAGGAATGGGAAGGCGAGACCTCTATCCACCTGGGCTCAGAGGCTTCCTTTACTATACAGTACTGTACTGTATTGTGTAATCTAAGTAAATATGGATAAATTGTAAACAATTTGGATAGAAACATGGATTGTTCTGCTATCTCTATATACCAATGCGAATATAGAATATTTTTTTATGAAGACTAAATAAATATATAACTTGTAAAGATTTCATAATGATTATGAAACCATTCGTGCATAAAGCAAAGATTAAATTACTTTGCTTTAATTTCTCTTCAAGTCGTCCTTTGAAGAGGACTAGTGACTCGTCAATCTCCGCATTCTGTCCTGGTACAAAATAGTCACGGAACTTGCCTCTCATATCAATAAAACCTTCCCCACCTTCCAAAGTCTGTCGTGTCTGTCTTCATTTTCATTTTTTCAAAGTGCAGGCACCTGAGAAGCAACAAGAACCTATCACGTGACATGTACCTGTTGAACACGGGGGATGGAACAAGGCTGTCTTTCCTCCAATAATCCTGGATGACGTGTTTCTCAGAATGTTTCATCAGCATGCTCAACACGAGAAACATGTACATTTCCTCATTTGTCGTGTCCTTCCATCGTGTCATGCAAGAAGCAGGTAAAATGTCGGTGTTTATGAGGCTGTGATCATATCTGTTCATCAATTTTGAATTATTCCCAATTTTGAATTGTACACTATACCTATAAGATCCCTGAGGCGCGTTGCGCACCACTCGTCGAGCGCCTACAGGCACGTTGCACAGTGCAGTGGTTAAACTCATACATGACTTCGTTCTCATACACTATATGTAACTCGTCCTCATATTTAGATACCTTTTTTAACTATGATACCTTTTAGTACCTTTTGTAACTATGTGGACCATCATACATTTATTTATGTAATGGACAATTAGTAGAATTTGGTACTATTCACTTTATAGGGTCCAGAAAAAATAAAGGTAAACACCAAACTTGGTTCAAAATCTGCTTGGAAAAATCTTCGGAAACAATATGAGAGAAGAACCTATTTTCTGACATATTCCCAATTTCTAGTCCCCCGTCAAGGCCACTAGAGATGGAAGCTTTCAGGTATATTCAGGTAAAAAGTGAATAACTATACAGTACTGTCTTTAGAATTACTGTAGTTATTACTGTATGTATTTATAATTAGCAAAATGGATGAATTTTAAATAGTTTTTAAAATTCAAACTCTTGATAAATACCAAGCATACAGGGAATTCAAGTTCTCAAAATAACGAATATTTACAGTATTTATTTCACTGAATTTTTAGACAAATTTTCAATAAATGCATGCTAAAAAATGTAAAGTCAACTACCTCCTTTGCTTTTGTTCGTGTAATGGGTAACAGCGGTATGTGTGACAATAGTACACGTAGTCTACCATCCTTGTGTGGAACAGTTGTGGTCTTAATGTCAACGTCATCCATCACTTGAACCTGGAAAGCCACATGCAAATCAGAGGACAAACAAGAAAAAGAGATCACCGTAAATGCTTCCAGGTACAGTAATGTTATTACACACTTTTTTATGATCAGCAGAATGGGTATTAAAAAAAGGAATTACAGTATTAAATTATGATAATTAGACAAAACTTCAATTATTTGTTACTTACTTGAATAAAGTCAATGAATTTATACTGTAGAGTAGTTGACTGGTTGAAGATTGAATAGAACCTCTGAATTTTGTTTGGTGTCACCCGGTCAGATCCCTCTCCACCAATATCATTGTCTCCAGGAACATATATTGTGTGCTAAGGAAACACAAATGTTAAGAGTATTATTTTGGAATCTGCAATAAGATATAAGATCACATTTAAAAACTAAAATAAAATAGATATGTTGATCATAGCCTATCAACAAGGGTTTCCCTAGACAAGCATATCTCAGGATTCAAATACGGTGGTCTAATGAGCATTTGGGGGATGAAATGAATAAAGGGTATTTGTAACGAGTCCAAGGTTCAGCCCTTTGGCTTGAATCTGGCTCCTCCAATGTTCGCCAGGTTAGAGCAGGAAGTGGTGACTCGGCTGTCTCTTATGGGTCTGTGCTTTGGCCTACCTCAACTGCCGCCCCTGGTTTGGGGCGCCCAGCCATTCTGCATATTAGCTTACTATTACTAGGGAAGGCAACCAGAAACCCAGCAACTCGAGCAACCCGTCCTCAGACCAAGTCCATTTTATCCAGTGGTCGACCCCAAAGACTCATTCAGCAATTTTTAACATTCTGCTTATTCAAAACAGAACTTTTCTCAAATATAAATTAATATTATTATATATTAGCATATTGTGCATATTTAGGCACTGGTTAGGTTAGGTGTTTAGGTTTTGTTGTCGATTATTTATATTTGTAGTACGTGGGTGAAGTATTTACAGCATTGTAGTTCAAACAAAAGTTGTCAGTGAAGCACTTGTTCCGGAAGTGTTCGGACATCATCATCAGTTGTGAGTCGTGTGTAAACCATTTTTCATTCATAAACAGTGTGTTTGGCGGGTGTATGGCATGGACTTAGGGTCTTTGTTTAGAGGACGGACCGAGTCAAGACAAACTACTGTTGGATTCAAAAGAAACTGAAACCTCAAAACCTGCCCAAAGAACTCCCCCCAATTATGTAAACAAACTATCAAATTCTCTCGGTGCTAGCACAAGCACGTTCAATGTATGTTCTCCACTCGTTTGGGAGGAACGGGACAAGCAGCTCACTGCCTGCCAGGGTCTGAGCTTTCAGTTCTAGAGCAGATATAGACATCCATAAAATGACCTGGAAGGGAGGGAGAGGATCAAGGAGCCACTGGGGCTCACCCAGAAATTGGTATTTCATTGCATTGAACACTGGTTTATTATATACAGGTATAGTACCTTTACAAGAAAAAGTATTTGTGTGAATATTATTTAGGAAGGCACTGGGGTTAAATTTAGCACTTAGCTTACCACTAAAATGGAAACAAATACTAGTACTGTGTACAGTATATATTACATACCTACATAGATAACAGCTAATTTTTTAGATAAAAATATTACCTTCACATAGTTTGGAATGTACATAAGACTTCTGAAATCTTGAACTAGTGAATTAAAGTCAGCGTCACTAGCAACACTGCCATCGTTGAGAAGATCACCTAAAAACACAACAATATCTGGCTTTGTCTTCCACAGTGCGAGATGAAATCCGCGACTAATAAATCTGAAAATAGATACGTATGGTAATGTAATTACTGTTTATCTGCTATAAAACAACAAATATAATCAATAACATTTTCAGAGTAAGCACATGTTTCAGTATATATTGCAAAATATTATTGAAAAACAGTGTACAGTAATAATAATTTGTTCAACTGTCTATGCAGTAAGTCAATACCTGTTAGCATCCCAAGTTGTAAGAATGCTACTTGGGAAGAAAGGCTCTGATTGGATACTCAGAATCTGAGGATCTGCCGCTATTAATACCCGGACACTGTCTTCGCTGTCGTTACTGATTATTGGCCAATTAGTGGCCGTGAAAGCGTAAGAAATCCACTCATTCAGTAATACCACACCAGTTAAAAATACAACAACAAAACGGTTCCGTGTAACTCTGAAATAAAGAGAGACCTGTGAATAACACTTAGTACTGTACTGTCATCCACAAAATTGAGTATGTATCAAAAGTTTGGAACACGAAGATAAACTTTTAATTACAGTAATAGAACAGCACTATTTTATTTTAAAATAAGTTTTAAGCGTGTTAAAAATATATTTATCAGCATATTATTCTGCCTCTCCCTCACATTTTTCAGTATTGCCTGCAAGCTGTGCAGTTTTGAGATCTTCACTCTGCTAAGCGATATATATGGCACCAGAGCAATAGGTACCGCAGCTTTCCTGTAGGGTTATATATGGTGAGAGAGATATATACAAGAGTTGTTACATTCTTGTACAGCCACTAGTACGCGTAGCGTTTCAGGCAAGTCCTTAATCCTATTGTCCCTGGAATACGATCCCCTGCCGCAAAGAATCGTTTTTTCATCCAAGTACACATTTTACTGTTGCGTTAAACAGAGGCTACAGTTAAGGAATTGCGCCCAGTAAATCCTCCCCGGCCAGGATACGAACCCATGACATAGCGCTCGCGGAACGCCAGGCGAGTGTCTTACCACTACACCACGGAGACTGATTCGGTGCTTGGGATTAATGAGACAGTATCATTCAGTTAGAATAAAATGCTAAATTATCAGTTATGTGAGAAAGTGGCTTAAACAACTGAATTGTGGAGAAGTTCACTACACTCAGCCTTCACTGCTACTGTAGTCAAGTTCTGAGGTTTTATGACAGATTGACCCATGTGTAACTTTCTCCTCACCTAATCTAATATAACCTAACTTATTCATAAATTCTACACACTTTGGATTGCAGACAGTTTACATACAAGTTTCGACTAGATGCAATCTAACCATAACCAAACTAATGATATATGCTAGAAATGTATGACTCATACTATATAGTAATGTACTGTTAATTAAGTAAAGAACAATTGTCAAATATTAAATATATCTCGTAATAAGGAACACTAGAAGGCCACAGGGCTAACAACACTGAAACCAGGCATGATAGGGCAGATTTCATTGAAACTTTTAAAATACTGAACAAGTTAGAGGATGTTGATCCGGATATTTTCTTCAGAAGGTCAGATGTACCACACAAGGAGCAATGGTTTCAAATTCAACTAGCCACAATGTATGACTGAGAACAGGAGATACTTTTTCACCCACAGGGTAATTAACCCATGGAACCGCCTACCCACCGAAACCATGACTGCCAAAACTGTGTCAGGTTTTAAAATATACCTGGAAAAGATATAGGAGGCAAATGGAGGGATTTTCGACAAGCAGCCAGCTTCCCATCCTCGCCGAGGCCACTAGGGATAGCGGCCCTCAGGTAAATCAGGTAAATAACGACAAAATTTCTTATTTTCAAAATTACTACCATGTGAGATGCCAATTTAAGAAATGATTGTACCCCCATCTGGAAGAATCATTATGTGGTCTGTTAAATATTGCAAGATGGAAATCCAAATGTATATGAGAATTAGCAATCTTAGAACCATGCTAATGCTTCACTCACCATATTGTAACTTAGCTAAATGAATTTGCGGTTCCATTGCTGAGCCCATTATATGCCTCTATCATTTTACACTACGCTACATTTTTATTACATATATTTTACACTATTTTACATTTTACAAACAAGCTACGAGGATGAGGGAAGGGGACGTTCCCTCCATGCTAGATTTGATATTTACCAGGAAGGAGGAAGAGATATTTGACATTCAGTACCTTCCTCCCTTGGGTAAAAGTGACCATGTCTTTTTGGGAATAAAGTATGCAATGCGTTATAAGCTGGAAGAAAATAAGGAGGTTGAAGCAGTTGAAAAACCAGACTTCAGGAGAGGACATTATGGTGACCTTAGAAATTTTTTTAGTGAGTATAATTGGACAGACTTGATGCTAGGCAAGGAAGTGAATGAGATGTATGGCAAGTTTTGTGAAATATATGATAAAGGCACAAAAAAATTTATACCAAAACAGAGATGCAGAACTAGGAAACAGGATTGGTTCAATAGAAATTGCGAGAGGGCTAGAGACCGAAAGACACAAAAATGGAATCAATACAGGAAGAGGCCGAACCCCCAAACATACCAGCGATACAAAGATGCGAGAAACAACTACACGGCAGTGAGGAGAGAGGCAGAAAGAAATTTTGAAAAAGGGATTGCGGACAAATGTAAAACAGAACCAGGTCTATTCTATAAATTCATAAACAACAAATTGCAGGTAAAGGATAATATTCAGAGGTTGAAAATGGGAAATAGATTCACGGAAGATGAAAAGGAAATGTGTGAAACACTAAACGAAAAGTTCCAAAGTGTGTTTGTACAAAATGAAATCTTTAGGGAACCAGATACAATAAGAATTCCAGAGAACAACATAGAACACATAGAGGTGTCTAGAGACGAAGTGGAAAAAATGCTCAAGGAGCTCGGTAAGAACAAAGCAGCTGGCCCAGATGGCGTTTCACCATGGGTTCTGAGAGAATGTGCATCTGAGCTCAGCATTCCACTTCACCTGATCTTTCAGGCATCCCTGTGTACAGGAATCGTAGCAGACGGGTGGAAACAGGCTAACATAGTTCCAATCTACAAAAGTGGCAGCAGGGAAGACCCCCTCAATTATAGACCTGTATCATTGACAAGTGTAATAGTGAAAGTATTGGAAAAACTAATCAAAACTAAATGGGTAGAACACCTAGAGAGAAATGATATAATATCAGACAGACAGTATGGTTTTCGATCTGGAAGATCCTGTGTATCGAATTTACTCAGTTTCTATGATCGAGCCACAGAGATATTACAGGAAAGAGATGGTTGGGTTGACTGCATCTATCTGGACCTAAAAAAGGCTTTCGACAGAGTTCCACATAAGAGGTTGTTCTGGAAACTGGAAAATATTGGAGGGGTGACAGGTAAGCTTCTATCATGGATGAAAAATTTTCTGACTGATAGAAAAATGAGGGCAGTAATCAGAGGCAATGTATCAGAATGGAGAAATGTCACAAGTGGAGTACCACAGGGTTCAGTTCTTGCACCAGTGATGTTTATTGTGTACATAAATGATCTACCAGTTGGTATACAGAATTATATGAACATGTTTGCTGATGATGCTAAGATAATAGGAAGGATAAGAAATTTAGATGACTGTCATGCCCTTCAAAAAGACCTAGACAAAATAAGTATATGGAGCACCACTTGGCAAATGGAATTTAATGTTAATAAATGTCATGTTATGGAATGTGGAATAGGAGAACATAGACCCCACACAACCTATATATTATGTGAGAAATCTTTAAAGAATTCTGATAAAGAAAGAGATCTAGGAGTGGTTCTAGATAGAAAACTATCACCTGAGGACCACATAAAGAATATTGTGCAAGGAGCCTATGCTATGCTTTCTAACTTCAGAATTGCATTTAAATACATGGATGGCGATATACTAAAGAAATTGTTCATGACTTGTTAGGCCAAAGCTAGAATATGCAGCTGTTGTGTGGTGCCCATATCTTAAGAAGCACATCAACAAACTGGAAAAGGTGCAAAGACATGCTACTAAGTGGCTCCCAGAACTGAAGGGCAAGAGCTACGAGGAGAGGTTAGAAGCATTAAATATGCCAAAACTAGAAGACAGAAGAAAAAGAGGTGATATGATCACTACATACAAAATAGTAACAGGAATTGATAAAATCGACAGGGAAGACTTCCTGAGACCTGGAATTTCAAGAACAAGAGGTCATAGATTTAAACTAGCTAAACACAGATGCCGAAGAAATATAAGAAAATTCACCTTCGCAAATAGAGTGGTAGACGGTTGGAACAAGTTAAGTGAGAAGGTGGTGGAGGCCAAGACCGTCAGTAGTTTCAAAGCGTTATATGACAAAGAGTGCTGGGAAGACGGGACACCACGAGCGTAGCTCTCATCCTGTAACTACACTTAGGTAATTACACTTAGGTAATTACTATCACCCACAGTTTGAGTACAGGGTGCATGATAAATGATCAAAATATAAAATTAACTGCAGCTTTTCATTTAAATCAGCACCTATGCACATTACTGTATAAGGTTAGGTATTATTACATTAGTTAAGTCAAACAAGTACAGTAATGCCAAAACTGTCAGTAGTTTCAAAACGTTATACGACAAAGAGTACTGGAAAGATGAGACACCACAAGCGTAGCTCTCATCCTGTAACTACACTTGGTAAAAAAAAACAGTTAAGTAATCATCTAGCAGCATGTCTTTTCTTTCAATTTCTAATTTGTTAATCACTGTTTTGTTAAACATTGTGATGAATATGCCACTGAAATAATCATATGACTGGATAAAGAACTGTACAATCTACTGAATAAAATGGGAAGTCTCACTGTCACTTCCATCGTCATTTTTTAAATGAACTATATTGGACAAATACACACATGTAACTTGTAAATACTGCTACTATTAATTGTGAACCTTCACCTACCTAAAGATTATGAATAGGATAGATATCTTTATTTTATTTTATTTATTTTATTTATATATATACAAGAAAGTACATTGGGATTGCAAGGATACATAGCATAGTAATTACAATCTTGTAAAGCCACTAGTATGCGCAGCGTTTCGAGCAGGTCCTTAATCTAAGAAAATTTTAAGTAGGTAAATACTAGCAAAATTTATAAAAATGATAACAGTTACATAGCAAGAGAAAAAAAAAAAGATGAGAGAAAATTGTAGGAATATACACGTGCATGGGGTACTGCACCATTCAGATAGTTATTACAATGACAGTGTTTCTTAGTTTAGTTAATTTATTATGCACCCCATCCCCATACTGTAGCACTAAATTATGAGAAGGGTAATAGTCTAGCACCCTAGCAGCAGTACCGAAATGACATAATTTACCTGAATTTACTTGAGGGGCCACCAACACACTAGTGGCCTCAATGTGGACAGGAAGCCAGTGGCTTGTTAAAGGTCCCCCCCCATTTGCCCTGATGATGTTTTACAGCTGGATTTAAAATTTAACAGTTTTGGCATTTAGAGCTTTGAGAGTTTCATGGGTTCACCTGTAGGTGAAAAATATCTCCTGTCATACATGCTGCTTAAATGTTGCTTAAAATAGAAAACTTTAACAAATAATGCAACATAGGTTTGTATTTTATCCCCAGATACAGATACTCCCAGATTTGTGCAGGGATTTATAGGTAAATAAGGCAGGGTAAATCTGGGGCTTTACAAATCCCCAAATTTGTACCAGATCTTACTTTCTGATACATATTCATATAAGAATTATAAAGTATTCATTTGTCTCATTCAGTCCTCAGAAAAAAAACTGGGAATTGTACCATAACCCAGTTTTCTAAACTGGACTGAACAGCACATTTGTGCGTGTGATATCTATTATATGGCAGACAATTCAAGTCAACTCCCTAAGTCTTCACACTCCATGCCTGACTGAAACTAGGTAATATTGATCACATATGTTAATGTTCCTCCAGTAGGAACATACGAAGGCAGACACACCCCCCCCCCCTCAAGCCAGGCATCCCAGCCCCATCATTGGGTATATATATACCAACAAAAACAACCAAGCTAATACACCAACCTAGGCGGGAAACAAGTAGATACCCGTAGAAACATTTCCTCGTGCAGTTATCGAGGCTTCAAAGGTCATATAATCTCATATAATCTCATATTAGTTACTAAACCCTTGACGGACACAAGGAGTGGATCGACCCGCTAGTGTTGTTATTGTTGTGGTCCGTTAAGTGTCGACATGTTGTCTATACCGTATTACTGTGCACGAATGGGATATAAATCAATCTTAAAACATTGTTGTAAATTTGGGACTGTTTTATTTTAGCCTGTGGGGTTAGAGACAGGTGTGGAGGTGAGTGGATGAAGCAGCAGTCATATGGGTGTGTTGATGGTGGTGATGGCTAAACTGGCCGATCTTGGCCCAGTGACTCCACACACACTCCTATGAATGGCCTGTACTCCAATTATACAATTATCATAATAATAATAATTATATATATATATATATATATATATATATATATATATATATATATATATATATATATATATATATATATATATATATAACTGAAAACTGGGGACCATTCAGGCTTGTTCGCATATATATATATATATATATATATATATATATATATATATATATATATATATATATATATATATATATATATATATATATATATATATATATATATATATATATATATATATATATATATATATATATATATATATATATATATATATATATATATATATATATATATATATATATATATATATATATATATATATATATATATATATATATATATATACATATATTATATATATAAAAGATCTTGGTTCCAGGCTCATTGACACTAGAAGAGACCCTAGAGGGGCAAGTTTTCTCTTCCAGCGCCTCAGTGTCGCGATCCAGAGGGGAAATGCCCATTGCGTCCTCGGTTCCTGCCCGGCATAGGAGGAGTTCGAAGACATCTACAGTCTCTAGGAAACAAACAAATCTTATGTCCTCTTAATGTTCATTTTTTGTATACAATCAAATATGTAACTGTATAACTTGCTTAATAAAGTATACAGCATAAATAAGGGGGTGGTAGAAGTGAACACGTATTCAGAGGTAAATGGCAAGTTTTTCTCTGAATGTTCTGTGTTCCCTTCTTTGAGGCTGTGGGTCCCTGTAATTGCACCAGAGGTGGTACCCCCCCCCCCCCATATATATATATATATATATATATATATATATATATATATATATATATATATATATATATATATATATATATATATATATATATATATATATATATATATATATATATATATATATATATATATATATATATATATATATATATAATGTGTGTGTGTATGTATAAACAAGCTTGAATGGTCCACGTATTCATATTCATATTCCACAAGCCAATATGCAACCTAAAGTCATCACCCCTGAAGGACTCGAACCCAGACAGCCAGGGCTCCTTGTACCTTTGCGTGTCCAGTACTTAACCCGCTAAACCACGCTGACTGTGTAAAAATAAATGGAAGTCGTCAGATCTTTAACCCAATCCCCGACAGCACTCTGTGGTAAATTTGGGGAACACATTTAATCGAATTATCGCATGTTGGGGGCCACACGAGTAACGCAAAGGAGTTTTGTGATACTATAAGCGCTTTGGCCTGGATTCGTATCCTGGCCGGGGAGGATTTACTTGGCGCCAATCCTTAACTGGCGCCTCTGTTCACTCACCAGTGAATTGAAATTGAAATAAGTTTATTGAGGTAAAATACACACAAAGGGATGAGGTAGCTCAAGCTATTCTCACCCCGTTCAGTACATCGTGTTAATACATACATACACACACATCACAAACAATAAACATATTACCAAACATTCTGAGAATCAAGCCCTTAGTATAGATATTAACTTTCGCTTTGATTGAGTAAACGAGTTTTGGGATTTAGTCCCTGAATCGGTTTAATGCCTCAATAATCTTTTCCACAAGCCGGATGGATATGGGGTGCATATCCACCCACTGATAAATAAGTGGATCAGAAGGCAGGAAATAGGAGAAAAGATGTATGATGTAACAAGAGGAGCAGAAAAGATAAAGTGGAGGTATTTAAAGAATACAGCACCCATTCCTCAGAGCACCCTTATGGGAGTGCAGCACCCGTCCCTCAGAGCACCCTTATGGGAGTGCAGCACCCGTCCCTCAGAGCACCCTTATGGGAGTGCAGCACCCGTCCCTCAGAGCACCCTTATGGGAGTGCAGCACCTATTCCTCAGGGCACCCTTAAGGGAGTTCAGCACCCATTCCTCAGGGCACCCTTAAGGGAGTTCAGCACCCATCCCTCAGAGCACCCTTAAGTGAGCTCAGCACCCATCCCTCAGAGCACCTTTAAGTGAGCCCAGCACCCATCCCTCAGTGCACCCTTGAGTGAGCCCAGCACCCATCCCTCAGTGCACCCTTAAGTGAGCCCAGCACCCATCCCTCAGAGTACCCTTAAGTGAGCCCAGCACCCATCCCTCAGAGTACCCTTAAGTGAGCCCAGCACCCATCCCTCAGTGCACCCTTAAGTGAGCCCAGCACCCACGCCTCAGTGCACCCTTAAGTGAGCCCAGCACCCATCCCTCAGAGTACCCTTAAGTGAGCCCAGCACCCATCCCTCAGAGTACCCTTAAGTGAGCCCAGTACCCATCCCTCAGTGCACCCTTAAGTGAGCCCAGCACCCATCCCTCAGAGTACCCTTAAGTGAGCCCAGCACCCATCCCTCAGAGTACCCTTAAGTGAGCCCAGCACCCATCCCTCAGAGTACCCTTAAGTGAGCCCAGCACCCATCCCTCAGAGCACCCTTAAGTAAACCCAGCACCCATCCCTCAGAGCACCCTTATGGGAGTGCAGCACCCATCCCTCAGAACACTGTTAAGTGAGCCCAGCACCCATCCCTCAGACCACCCTTAAGTAAACCCAGCACCCATCCCTCAGAGCACCCTTAAGTAAACCCAGCACCCATCCCTCAGAGCACCCTTAAGTAAACCCAGCACCCATCCCTCAGAGCACCCTTAAGTGAGCCCAGCACCCATCCTTTTAAAGATTGGCTACTATTTGATTTGAGCGCGCATGGGCAGAGGCTCCGGAGCGTCACGTGACTGGATACCTGCATTGATTGGCCGAGGCGGCGCATGCGCACCACCCATTCACAGATAGAGCTGTTTTCGCCATTTTGGTGCAAGTTGAGTTCAGTGTGGTGACGATCGGCTTGAATCCAAGCCATCTCTGTATGTGGGTGACTAAAGAGGATTATTTATTAGTGTAAAAAATGAGTACTAACGCCAACAACACCAGCAAGGTGTCTACGACGGATAGGGTCATCAAAAGTGAGTACATAAGAGCCTTCTGTATGGATAAGTGAAGAGACCTTTTGAGAGTTCGTATATCAATGGCGGCAAAACTTGTCAGCTCGGCGACTTAACACGTCGGATTTTGAGTGGGTGAGGGACGAGGACGTGCGGGTGTGGTGGGGACGATGGGACGACTCGAGCAGGATGGCTAGGGGATAGGAATGGTGGGGATTTAGCGGCTAGGGAGGCTAGGAGACGGGTTAGAGACTTTGTCGTCTGCTTGGCATTCCTATTGGAAATTCGTCTGCTAGCTCCCCCCACAGCTGTTGATCTGTCAGCGGCGCGGAAATAGATACTGATAATGGTGTTAAGGAATCTTGGCGGCGCCAGCCTCCACGTCACACCCTCGCTAAATGAATACAAGCTAATATATATAGTGGTCCAGTTCGTATGGTCCTGTCAGGTGTTCGAACTGTTCTCCCTTTGACGAGCCTAAATACTCCCAGAGGTCGAATTGCTTTCGAACAGCTGCGTGGGGGGTGAGGTTTTAGGGACCATGGTATGGTAAGGGAAGGTGTGGTTGGGGGGTAGTGGTTGTGGTAGTGAGGTGGGCGTGGTGGTGATGGTGGTAGACTATCACCATCATCACCATCTCTTCAACTGGGCCGTGTCCGCCCTCGTCTAATAAATGATCTTAAGAAAACAAACTTAAGTTATGGGGGTCAGAGGAGGAATAAGCTTAGATTGGTTTTTTTATATAATTTATATGAACCCCTCACCCCCCCTACTCTCTCACTATCCTTGGGCCCTCACTATCCTTGGGCCCTCACTATCCTTGGGCCCTCACTATCCTTGGGCCCTCACTATCCTTGGGCCCTCACTATCCTCGGCCCCTCACTATCCTAGGCCTACTCCTGTACTGAGACATTTTTGGTGGCATTGGGTCTTGGTGCCTTTTGTGGGTGTTGAGTTTGGTTAACTTGTGTTCTGTTATTTTTTGTTTTCTTGACTAGTAATTGTACTCATTCTTGTTATAATAGTGGCTTGTAACCTAAATTGGATTGGTAAACAATGTTTACACAATTATAATTTGGCATATATTTTTCTGTGTACAGGTTTATAATTGGAATATCAAGGGTTATTTTTCATAGTTCTAATGTGTGGATAAAACTGCAAGGATTTGTATGTATTTAAAGGTTGTATTAGTACAGTTTTGTCAAATGTCTTTGTGTGTGTGTGTGTGTGTGTGTGTGTGTGTTTGTGTGTATGTATGTGTGTGTGTGTGTCCCCCTGACTGAAGATGTGGTATGTAACCCTGACATTTCCCAACCTTGTATAGTATAAATGAATGGTGTATTGATGGTGAGTTGATTTGTTTTGCCATCTAAGTTTCCACTTAACTAAGCAAAGTTTCACCAGCTAATATATGTTCAGATATTATGTGGTGTTTTGATACAGTAGAAAACTTTAAAATGTAATATAGTACAGTATGTTGAAGATGTTTATGTACTGCACTGTTGCTGTACTTGCCTAAAAGTGGTTATGTAAGTTGACTGTAGGGAAGTGAGAGCTAGCTCCATATTCCTTGCCTGTTAGCCTTGTTGTACCTGTTGCATAATAAGTTGACTTTCCTATGCAAATTATTTGCCGTGGGTGCACTCGGGTTTATTAATAGATAACAAAGTGTGTTAGGGCTGAAACAAACAGCAGTGTGTGAATTCTTCGTATTGGGTTTTCATACTGTATTTTATACATAACAGTATAAAATTACTGCATAAAGTTGTGTATGTTAATCTTTCGGGTTTGAGGCAGATCTTGGGTCCGGATGTTGTGCTTGTTTTGGTATGTATTGGTGATTCTGAAGCTAAAAGGTGTAAT